ATTTTATATTTTGAGACAGGGTCTCACTGTGTAGCTCTGACTGGCCTTGAACTCAGAGATCCTTCTGCCTCCCAAGTGCTGGTGTAAAGGCATGCTGTACCACACCCAGCTGTGATTTTATTTTAAACTATGTATGTATGTGTGATATGTGTACATGTTAGTGCAGGTGCCTGTGGAGGCCAGGAGAGGACTGTAGATCTTGTGGAGCTGGAGTTATAGGTGGTTGTGAGCTGCTGCCTGCTAAGAGCCAAACTGGTCCTCTGCAGGAGTAGTACATGCTCTTAACAGTTGAGCCATCTCTTCAGCTCCTCCTGTTGCATCTTATTTTATTCTTCTGACTGGCCCAACAGCCTGCAGTGTCTTGAAAGTATAGGAGTAAGTCATATTTGAGAGTTAGCCTTTGATCGTGCAAGGATTGAGCTGATATTTTGCCTTTGGGAATAAGAGGTTCTCTGTCCTAATAGTAATCTTGATCCTGAATGTGCTTGCTGGCTCCTTTAAGACAAGCCTTTGAGCCTGGCTGTGGTGGCACATACCTTTAATCCAAGCAGAGGCAGACAGCTTTCAGTTCAAGGCCAGCCTGGAGTGTGCAAAGAGACCCTGCCTTAAAAAAAAAAAAAAAAAAGACCAGTGTTTGATAAAGTATCTGGAGAATTGGGGCTTCAAGTTAAGTTTTGAGAGATTGCTAGCTTGGAAACAAGGATAAGGAAGCATCCCAGCATTGGGACCTGATGGCAAGTCTCTAGAGATGTTGCTTCATCCTTTTCTCCTTATTCTGCCGGTATTTTTGAGAGGGGATAGGGGCTTTTTTTTTTTTTTTTTTTTTTTTAAACTTTACATATCAATCCCAGTTCCCCCTTCCTCCTCCTGCCCCTAGAGAATAGGGGTCTTTAGCAAAAAGAATAATCAACATGTCAAAATCTTCAGTTCAAATTCTTAAAAATCAAAGTTTAAAATTTGAAAAAAGTCCATCCCATTACCAGAGACCATCTAATGAGTCAGGCAAGCAATAACCTCCAGATTGTGATTATCATTGAAATTGAATTCTACAATGACTCTTCTAGGTGACAGTTCTGTTCTAGCAGATTTGTTTTTTGATATTTAGACAGGGTATTTTTAACTTTGTAGCCCTGGGTGACCTGGAACTCAATACAGATCTATCTATCTTTGCCTCCGGAGTACTAGGATTAAAGGTTGCACCACTGCTGTGCCTAACCTGGCAGGTTTGTTTTCAAAGGGTGGTAATGAGTGGTAAATAAGAATCTGGGAAACAATAGGCTGATGGATGTTTTTTTGGGATGGGGTGGGGAGAGAATCACTTACACCAGTAACAGATGACTGCTGCAGGTTCCTGTCCCAAGGATGCCTCTAGATGCTGTCTCCAACCAAGAAGTAAGAAAGAGCTGGGGTCCAGGACCCCAGACCTAGTTCCCCCCAGGTCACGCCCACACCTGTCCCCATGCTCAATGGGTGTGGTCAGTGCAACAGCAGTGGGCAGGGTGGGTATCTCACTACAGGGTGGGTTGAGATAGTCTCAACCTAGCCTAGGTTGGTGTCAGATCTCCCAAGTGCTGAAATACAGGCCTTGGGCACCATACTCTGGTGCTGTGTGTGTCTTTGAAGCCTAGACTGGTGTTGATTATATTGCCTCTGAAGTGCTTACAGTGCTAGAATCCTAGGCATGCACAATCTCCTGGCTCTCCTAGGGCTCTTTAGTGGGTTGATCTACCACCACAGACAAACTGCCCTGGTAACCATCAGTGGTCTGTCTTGAAATTGGAATCTAGAGTCCTTGCAGTATTTTGTTGTTTTGTTCCCTACAGTTACTCTGCTTAGATTCTGGGTCCTTAGTCTGGATTGTTATTCACTTTATCGTCATGCAGAGTCAAACTCATTCCACCAAGGTTCTGCATCCAGTTCTGAGTAAAGTGGTGTTGCCCAATTTGAGGACACTTCTATCCCTTACAGAGACAGAGGAGAAGAGATAGTAAAGATGTTTTGTTTGAAGATGAGAACTGAGGTTGAACATGGCTGTAACGGGATACATGAGAGTTTGACCATTGAGCTACATCTCCATTCTGCCTTACTTACTTTTATTTATTTATTTATTGTATATATTCACTTGAGATTGAATTTCAGAATCCTTTGGATGCTGACATTCTGCCTGCACGCTCCCAAATCCCCTCTTAAACACCATTAATCATTTGTCAGGGTAAAAGGTCATCTGTTCAGCCAACTGGACAGGCCCTTCCATGCAAGCACTGATGAGTTATCCTTACTCCAAGCCTCCAAAGGAGTGGTCTTTGGAGAGAGTATTAGGAACAATGATTCACATCACATGGACATTTGGAGGGTGTCAAACCAGGGGCCTGCATTCTTCAGCCAACATCTTGGATCTGTCACTTAATGATGGGTCTCTTTGTTAAACCACAAGCCACAGAAGTGGAGAGGAAGTACTGAGTGAACTAACATCTGACTAAATTAGTCCTTGAAGATGATCAAGTCTGTGAAAGACTGAACTAAAGCTCCAGGACCAAACAAGGCAAGGAAGAACATGAAATTGAAGGAGTCAACAGTTGATGAGAGCGGCAAGGTGGGTGCCAGAAGATGGGAGACACTCTAGGGGAACTGCTGGGCAAGCTCTTAAAAGTTCTTGGGGATTCTCCAGTTGGAATTTCATTTATTGCTGTATCCAAAATTCTGTACTGGGGAGATTAGGGTTTTGCTCTCCATCTGCCCTCAAGGGGTGTGGAGCAAACCCTACCAGGGAATGACTTCTACAGAGAGGAGGGTGTACAGCAAGGAACAGAAGTGGCAGAGGTATGCTGGATGGTGAGTGACAGCTGGCATGAGCCATGAGGGCTGTATTAAGGGAATTTATCCTGTGTGTAGTTAAGTGGATTTAGAGGTATCTTTCCAGGGATGGGAAGGAAAAGCACCTGGTGGCCATTGAGTGCTCCTGTAGTGACAATGGCAAGTGCAGCATTCCCGGAGGAGTCTGAAGGGCCTTAGGACTCTGAATGTGCACATACACTGAAGTTACATCTTTGGCAATACGCTTGCTGAGAACTTGACTACGTTATAGGATGGCCCAAACGATGCTATACGGGCCCAAATGTGAACCTCTGCAAATGTGAGCCACATGGGTTCAGGTATCATCACAGCACTTGTATTAGTTACTTTTCTTGTTATGCCAGAATGTCCCCATAAAAGCAAGGAAGCAAGGGTTTATCTTGCTCAGTTTGAAGATACAGCCATCATGGCGAAGAAAGCATAGACCCACGAGCTTAGGGTTGCTCTGTACCTGCAGTAGAGAAGCAAAAGATGAATGCTGGTGTTCAGCTTAAGGTCTTTATTCAGTCCAGGGCTTCAGCCCATGTGATAAGGCCACTCACATTCAGGGTGGGTCTTCACCCTGGAAATAGTTCTGATACAGCTAATAAAAGGTTTACTCCCTAGGTGCTGCTAAATTCAGTCAAGTTGAAAATAATGATTAGCCATGAAACTAACAACCAAAAGCCCTGGAGGTTTTCCTCCTGTTGTAAATTAAGGGAACCAACAAGCATCACACACCCAAGTTAATGTTTTTTTGGGTTTTTTTTTTTGTTTTGTTTTGTTTTGTTTTTTTGGCCTAGCAACTACTACAAGTAAAGTGTCTGTGGGAAGGCAGCTGGCATCCAGGTCACAGTATTTATCTATGGTCACCAATGCCAAGGATCTTAGGATTGATCAGCCTGAGGCAGAATCTAAGGATTTGGGCTTGTTTGGGAAGCACATTTTCAGACAAATTTAGTTATTTTTAAAAACTAGTTGATTTTTAATAGCAGTGATTTTCCTATTCCTGGGAGTCTTTACACAAAAACATGACTAATCCATCTGAGTGGGGTTAGGCAGGGTCCTTGCACGCTCAGAGCAAGGTAAACTTGTGGACCTCCTTTCAGCTTCCTCTCAGTTCTCAGCCCTATCCATCACTCTGCTCCACAGGTCTCAGCCTAAACCTCTTTCAAGCCTGGGCCAGCGGCAAAGGAGGTCAAAATGGAGCTTTCTAGTTCTATGTCTCTGGCTCTACCACCCACTGCTTGCCTTTTCTTTCTTTCTTTCTTTCTTTCTTTCTTCCTTTCTTCCTTTCCTTTTTTCTTTCTTTCTTTTTCCTGATATTTTTCGTTTGTTTGTTTTTATTTTTTAGAGACAGGATTTCTCTGTATTGTTTTGGCTCCTGTCCTGAAACTCATTCTGTAGACCAGGCTGGCCTCGAACTCACAGAGATCCTCCTGCCTCTGCCTCCTGGGTGCTGGAATTAAAGGCATGCACCACCAACGCCGGGCTACCCACTGCTTTCTTACTTTACAAGTGAGCCAGGAAGCTGTCCATCCAACCACTTGGCTCCCACAGGTAGCCTGTGATTTCAAAACAGTCTAATGCCCTTTGGATGGGGAGCACACTAACCACCAACAAATGCATCCAGACCAACTGGTCAGCTTTCAGAGAGTCAAAACTGCCTAGCCTCTGGGGACCCACTGTCCTGGTTTTGAGTGTTCACGAGTCTCACCTTCTGAGAATACAAATGTATTGGGTTCCACGGAAACCCAAAAACCTTGTTCCTGAAGTCTTTCCAACCCACGCTTTGGTCTGAAGCCCTCAGTCATTCTGTGGAAGGCGACTCCCAAACCCAGGCTGGGGGTGTGGGCCTAGGGTGAAACTCCGCCCTCGGGGTCCCTGATCTTTGCTCCCGCCCCGGGCTCCACGCCTCCCAGAGAGGCACCGGCGGGCGGCGTTCCTTTTGTGTGTTTCTTTCCAAGGTGTAAGCCGTCCCCCTTCACCACCACCCCCCCCCCCGCCTGCCCAGGCAATCCTCCCCCAAATCCCATCCCTCTTCTCGGCGTACTCATTCTCCTGCCAGCTGGGGGGGGATTGGATCTCTCCTAGGAGGAGGGACAAGGTCGGCAGCCCCTTCCTCGGTGCGAGGGGGCCTGAGCCCACTGGAGTCCAGGACCTCTGCTGCCAGTCATGTGGGCTGGACTGTTGCTCCATGTTGCCTGCATCGTGATCCTGTTGCTGGGGTCTTTGGCCCGAGGCTACACCGGGAGGAAGGCACCCGGGCATTACTCGGCCGAGAGGTAAGAGCCTGGCGCCCCTCAGCGGCCCAGCCACCAAGCATCACAGCGTGGAGCTGGGAGGCATTGGCAAGAGGGCAGCCGCAAGACCGATATCCTCTGGTGTGGACGCACCAGGGGGTCTGGACAAAGAACAGTTTGTGCCAGTTTGCTGGCCCTGGCTGGGTACTGCTCTCACTAGGGCATATGGAAGATGGGATCTTGGCTCTGGGTGAGTCTTGGAGTACTAAGTGACCAGGTGGCTAGGGGACCCCAGCACTTGCCATCAGTTCTCCACTGCCTGACACTTTCTTCCTTGGTAGTGAGGGGCCTCCTCCGCTTCTGCACCCATTGCCTTGGGGTAGGAGGTTTTCTTAGTGCCCCTTGCCCTGTGCACTCCGTGGACCTTGGAACCACCGGTGCCTCAGGGTTATGCTTTGGTTTCTGCGCATGTGTGCACAGGCCGAGGAGGCGGGAGGCGTGTCTTCCTGAACCCTGTGGTCCTCCCTAAGAGTGTCCCAATCCTCCACCAACACAGTGGGCTGGTGACCGAGTGCTGATCGTGTGAGTGTGATGCTCATATTAAGAGAACATGGTGTCAGAGGGTAGCCTGGCCCATGGCCACATCTTCCCAGGGGCGCACAGCAGGGGTAGCCCTAAAGGAAGGGCTTAAGGCTCAGCACGTGGGTTCCACAGATCCCTGCCAGTTCCTGCAGACTGAATCAGCCCAGCACACGCTCAGTCTGCCTCCCTGACATCGCCACACGTGAAAAACTCCTTGGGGCTTTCTTGTGGGTACTCTGACCCTGCCTACCTGAGGGTGAAACTCTACCAGCTTCTCCAGGTACCTACCCTACCATTTACCACTTTGATGGCACCTCATGTCCCTTTCAGAGTTCCCTTTGGCTTAACTGGCTCTTTTGAGGATCTCAGCTGCAGGACCCTCCTTGGTCGTTGCTATCATCACTCCTATGTGTGTGATGTCGATGTCAGCCCCTGGTTTGACTTCTCTGCTTTTGACTTCTGAGAGCGACAGTCCCCAGCAAACTTTTCTGTACTGTTATGGTCCCTTAAGGTTCCCACATTTGAAACAGATTATTAACCCTAAGAACCAGGAAAACCTGTCTTGTCCTATATCGTTTGTGTCTGATGCAGGGACAGGTATAGACAGGATGCTCGGACTGGTGGGATGGAATTCCCATCAGCTCGGAGTATGATTGGATTCATGATACTTACTCCAGCCATGACTTAAGACGTCTAGTCCCTGCCAATGTCCCCTCTGCCTGGGATGTCCCCCTCCTTTCATACCACTTCTCTGGTCTTCTTGTGCTTGGAGCAGGGAAGCTGTCATCCCAGGGACCCTCTTCTGACCACAAGTCCTCTTAGGGTGACTGTTATGCTCAGTTCCCATCACCCGGATCCTGTCTGTCCCTTGAAAGTGAGGACAGTAGCAGAATCACAGCTTTACTGCCTACCCATTCTGGACACTGGCTCTAGGTCACCTGAAGCTCCAGAGGGTGTTCTTACTTGGACAGAACCTTCTGGGCCAAGCCTTGGGTACCTTGTTGGCACCCTGAGGGATGCCATCCAGACCTTCTGCTTTCTTCCTTTTCTGGCTTCCCACTGGAGAAGTTATTAGGTATTTTAGATGTTGACGTGAACAGACAAATCCTCAGGGAGTAAAGAGGATAGAGACACTGAAGATCTTATCTGGTCTCTTCTGCTTTTGTCTGCTCCTGCCTCCAGGAGGGATTGTGGGTCATTTAGAAGTCTCCCACTGTTTTCCCCCCAGGGGTTCTGGAGAACCCTGTTAACTAACTTATAGACCAGTGGATGAGCTGGGAGCTTCTGCCATTCTCTTCATACAGATTGTGGACAGAGTGTTTTTTTTTTTTTTTTTTTTTTTCTTGCAGACGTCGTCTGGGCCCCCATGTCTGCCTATCGGGCTTCGGGAGTGGTTGCTGCCCTGGCTGGGCTCCTTCCATGGGCAGTGGGCATTGTACCCTGCGTAAGTACCCATTCCTGTGACCCAAGCCTTCTCAGCACCTGCCCAGGGCTGTGCATTGCCAGTGCCTAGTCCCTCACCTGCATCTTTCCTCTCAGCCCTCTGCTCCTTTGGCTGTGGGAGTGGCATCTGCATCGCCCCCAATGTCTGTTCTTGCCAGGATGGAGAGCAAGGGGCCACTTGCCCAGGTAACAGGGACAATGGCTGATGGGGGACCACCAAAGGAGCATCAAGATTATGTGCCTGACATTAGCCACTTGAGATAGGTTCTAGCTTGGCATCCAGACACCCTGTTAGGTAGGCATTTTCATACCTCTCTGACTGACAAGGCTGAGACATTTAACTTTTGGCTTTTCCTGGGTTGTATGATGTATTAGCTACATTTGTTACAGGTGTGACAAAATAGCTGATAAAAGCAACTTAAAGGAGGAAAAGTTAATGTGGACTTTTAGTTCAATGGTGTAGTCTATCAGGGCGGAGAAGGCATGGTGCTAGGAGAGGGAGGCAACTGCTCACATGGCATCCTCAGTCAGCACACAGAGAAAGTCGAAGGCTGCTGCTCAGCTCAGTGTCTCACTTGTGTTCAGCTTGGCTCCATAGGTTTATGGAGCATCACCTCCCACAGTTAGAGCGGGCCTCTCCATCTCAACCCAGTCTAGAATTCCTTCAGAGACATATCCAGAGGTTTCCTCCTATTTGACTCAAGATCCTAGGAAGTTGACAATCGATATTAACCAACAGCATGGCTAGTAAGTGGTAGACGTAGATGGGAAATGTGTTCACTTCCAGACCACCCACCCTGCAGCAGATTCAGGAGGAGCCCTAGGACATCTGAGAGGCCAGACTGCCACCTGCTTTGCTGCTTGTTGATATGTGCTTACTTCCGTGCTGTTTGTTTTAGAAGTCCAAGGATCCTGCGGGGAGTATGGTTGTGATCTCACCTGTAACCATGGTGGCTGTCAGGAGGTAGCCCGAGTATGCCCTGTGGGCTTCTTGATGACTGAGACAGCTGTTGGTATCAGGTGTGCAGGTGAGAAGTCTGGGATGAGGAAGGGGAGGGTGAAATGGTGTCTGCTCCCAGAGCCAGCCGGGAGCTGTAGGCAGAGTGTGTGACGTTTACCAGAGATGATTACTATGATCAGTTTCTTGTCCATCTCTTCAGAGGCAAAAGTCTGGTTGGAGGTGTTGTTTGTTTATTATGTGTGTGTGTCATGATGTGCATGCAGAGGACCATGGTGGATCGGGGTGGGGGAGGGGAGAGGGAGGGGGAGGGGGTGGGGGAGGGGTGGGATGTTAGTACAGTTCCAGAGAGCCCAGCAGATATCCCCACCCCTTCCACACCCAGGCCGCCTCTCAACGCTCCTGATTCTCCTAGCCCCACACTCCTCCAGGACATACCTGCTGTATCAGCTTATTCCTGAGCAGGGCATGTCACCCCTCTGGGCCTGGGAGCATCTCCATTATGTCCGAGGTCGTCAGTAACCCCTTTCTGAGTCTCTAGTATAATGACAATGTTCACTGGGCCCTGCCATTTTGGGGACCTGAAGGTTACCATATAAGGACTATCAAAATGTCTCTGCCTCCCTCAGGTATGCTTCCCCGCCCTTTAACCTGCCTGCATGGGTTAAGAGTAGGGCCCAGGCCCTCTGTCCTTTTATCTCCTCTCTTTGGGGCTCCCCTCGAAGTGGGGGTCACTGTTCCTGGAGTCACCATCACAGTTAGAATGGGCTGTGCAAAGGGTTTTCTTTTCTCAGACATTGATGAGTGTTTAAGCTCATCTTGTGAGGGCCACTGTGTGAACACGGAAGGCGGCTTCGTGTGCGAATGTGGGCCAGGCATGCAGTTGTCTGCTGATCGTCATAGCTGCCAAGGTGAGTGGGCAGAGGTGTCAAGAGTGGTTTCTAGGTGCTGCCAGACCCAGTGAGATACATTCTCCATGCCTCTGAGAAGGATGCTGTGTCATCCTGCGGTACTGGGAAAACAAAGGTTCCCTCACATCCATTCTGTTTGTAAGAGATAGACTTAGGGTTTCAGTCCAGCATGGCGGATTCTTTTGTTTTGTTTCTTTGAGATAGAACCTCCCTACATATCCTTGGCTGTCCTGGAACTCACTTTGTAGACTAGGCCGGCCTTCAACTGAGTTCTGCCAAGTGCTGGGACTATAGGCATGTGCCACCGTGCTCATGCCCAGTTCATGGTGGACTTGCTCTGAACCAAGGCACTCTAAAATTTTCTGTTTCTGTCATAGGGAAGGATGGGGATGAAGGAACCATCTCAGGGAGAGAAAGGGGCAGATGCACCCAGGGCAGGAGGTACCAAGATAGAGATGGGAGGGATGCAGGCTGTGAGTGGGAGGGGCCTGTGAAGGAGTCTGTCACTTAAGTGTGTTTGTAGCTCCTCCAGGGTTAGGTTCTGGGGGTATCTGTGCTGTAGGACCCACACACCCTACAGTCTGGTGGTTTGGAAAAGAAAAGATTGGGACAAGGTACTAGCTATGGGGGCCCAGCAAGAAGATGTCTTCCTCTTGTCTTCTTTTCTGTAGACAGGGTGTTATTGTGCAGCCCAGCCTGACTTCCAGCTTGCCACTTTAGTCCTGGGATTATAGGCATACTCCACCACACCTGGCAGAGTGAGATCTTCTACAGCACTTATCCTTTCCAAGAGACTTTGGTTTGCACGGATATGTAAGGATGATTCTCATCACAGTCTCACACAATGAGGCAGAGGAGACAAAATAAGCCCCTTGATTCTGAGCTATTATTTTCTCTGCATGTGAAATTTCATCAAACCCAAAAATCTTGAGCACTATGGTTCGAGCCTCATGCCTCTCTCCCATCACCCTCCTCTTACTCTAGAGAGCCCTGCTTTCCTGGTCTGCTTGAGTTGCCCTAATACTGTGCTGCTTAGACCACAGGAATTTGCTCTCAGACCCTAGAGAGCCATAGTCTAAGGCCAAGGTACTGGCTAGCATCTGGCTTGAAGAATATGCTCTTGCTGTGTCCTCACAAGATGGTGAGAGGGAGGGACATGGGGTGCTCTGGTCACTCTTCTGCCCTTGTGATGTCATCTAACCCTAACTATCTCCCAAAGCCCTACCTCCTAAGCACCCGAACCTTGGGAAGTTAGCTTTCAGCATGGTTTTTCAGTCTAGATGCCCTGCCTGCCTGCCTGCCTGCCCCTCATAGTCATATGTTCTTACACATGCGTGTATACAGGCTTACTAATGGCCAAACTCACATGCTGGGTACCAGGCTAAGCACTTTCCATGTGTGCTCTCATTCCATCCTCACAATTATGAAGTTGATACTGTTTATCTCCATTTTTCTGATAAGAACACCGAGGCTTAACACAAATAGTTTAGCCACTATCATATAGGAGCTGGGGGCTGATCACAGTTGCCTCTCCATTTTTTCCCCCTGAGCAGTAATTGCTCTTAAGGCTCTTCCCACATCAGGTAAACAGACCAGACAGATTTGTTGTTGTTTTTTTAACTGCTGCTGGGTTCTCTGTGATGCAACTGTCCCATAGCTTATGAGTTCTGACAAACAGGGAGATTATTTCTAGGGGTTTTTGTTGTTGTTTCAGCTTCAAACAGCAGCCTGGGTGAGTTTCTGTGTGGGAGGCTCTGTGAAGGAAGCTTTTAGAGCCTACAGAAGACTTCTCTTCTATGCACACAAGAGGGAAAGGCATTTGGGGTAGGCAGAATATGAGTCCATGGGGAAGGAATGAGACGTATTTAGAAGATGTGGGAAAATATGGGTGAAGGTGAGGGCTGGGAATGTTCACCCATAGCTATGTTCATTTTATTTATTTAATTTTCTTACATTTAAGTGTGCATGTGGAGGTCAGAGAACAACTTTTGGGAGTTGTTTCATCATGTGGGTCCCAGAGAGCCAACTCATCAGGCTTGGAGGGAGGCACCTTTACCTGCTGGACCATTTCACTGGCCCCATAGCTATGTGTAATGGTCTCATGAGTGCTGCAATGGACCACTCTGCTCCAAGGTTTGGAGCAGAGTGGTCCATTGCAGGTGGTCTTGGGTAATAATAGGACCTCCTGGGGCCTATTATGGGAAGATGGTTTGTGGTTCAGGAGGAACACAGGCAGAGAACTCAGGGAGGCTGTGTCTATTCTCCAGCCTAGAGGCAAGGTGGCTTGGGCTGGGGTGAGATGGTGAGGGTGGAGACTGTCAGCTGGTAGGGGAGTCCAGAAGTTGGGAAAGATGGCCCCCATGGCCCTGAGTGGGGTGAGGGGGGAAAGCAAGAGTCTAAGCTCTGTGGAGAAATGGGTGCGAGCTTTGTCATCTCCCTTCACAGACACGGATGAGTGCCTGGGAACGCCCTGCCAGCAGAGATGTAAGAACAGCATTGGCAGCTATAAGTGTTCCTGCCACACTGGCTTCCATCTCCATGGCAACCGGCACTCCTGCATAGGTGAGATCAGCAGCCTGTGTGTGGTACACTTAGGCTGCCAATCAGGAAGATGGACAGGTCAGTCTGGAAACTGGGAAGACCAAAATTTGGACCTTCCAGTCCTGTGGAACTTCTGCTTAGAGTGCTCCCATCCCATGCTTGGTATCCCAAGCTGGGCTTCCCTGGTCAAGTTCTCTTCAGCCTGCTATATTCTCTTCACTGCTCTCCCAGATACACATCCAGAACTCCTCTCTGCTCACCCATTTTCTTGGCTGCCTCTGCTCCCTGGAGTAAACAAACTACTTTATGTTTTGGTTCTTTTGGTTAAGAAGGAGACTCCTGTTTTCTCAGCCTCTTAGAAATTTCCAGAAAGGGATTACCACATTTAGTTCATGGGCCCAGGAGCTTGAAAAAGACCTTGTACTAGAGGGTTACATATTTGTCTTGAGCCTGCTTTGAACAGGACAGTGAGTTTTAAGACAGTGTTTACAAAAGAATGCCAGACTGCAGAAATGAGATTTGCACCAGAGCTGAACACTTAATTGTCCTGAGGATGAGATACCCACCCACCCACTGGACATGTGAAGCTTCTAAGACTACTGCTGATCGATACCAGCCCCATCCCTAGCATTCTGAGTTGCATCTTGTACTCTGGAGCAGGGATGAACTTTATGAGAGCTTGAGGTGAACTCTGCCAGTCTTTTGGGTGTTCAGGGATGGGAGGAAGAGAAAGGTTCCATGACCAAGGGAAGACAGTGAGCTTCTCCCACAGATGTGAACGAGTGTCGGCGACCGCAGGAGAGGCGAGTCTGTCACCACTCCTGCCATAACACTGTGGGCAGCTTCCTGTGCACCTGTAGACCTGGCTTCAGGCTTCGAGCTGACCGTGTGTCCTGTGAAGGTGAGTATCACCCTGCTCTCTAGACCGTAGTCCTGCCTTTTCAGCACAAGACCCTGTGTTCCTGGCTCCAGGCAACACTATAGATTTTGGTTCTGCCCTTGTGGTACCAGGTCTCACCCCTAACCACAGGTGCCACCTCTGTGCCAGAACCTTCTTTAAGTTCTTTTTTTGTTTGTCACTTCCAGTATCCCCACTTTCTTTCTCATTGTCTCTTTCCACTTTACATTTTTGAAATTTATTTACTAAAACTCTTTATGCATATGAATGTTTTGCCTGCTTATATGTGTGTGCCTGATGTCTGTGGAGGTCAGGAGGGGGTGCCAGATCCCCTGGACCTGGAGCTACAGGGCCCTAGTGCTCTTAGCCAGTGAGCCATCTCGCCATCTCTCTAGCCTGGCCTTTTTCTTCTCCTTTCTTTCTTTTAATAAAAGGGTTATTTTGTGTGTATGATGAGTGTTATGCCTGCTGGTGTGTGGTATGTATGTGTGTCATGTGCTTCAGGAGGGCCAGAAGAGGATGTCTAGTCTCCTGGGACTGGGGTTATGGGTTGTTGTGAGCTGCCAGGAACTGAACCTGGTCCTCTGCAAGAGAAGGCAGTTGAGTGCTCTTACTTAACCCCTGGAAATCTCTCCATCCCGGACTTTATTTAGCCAGCCCATTCCCCTTTTCCCTTTTCCCCGTTCCCAGCCACTGCACACAAATGGTAAAAAGGAAAAACAAACCAGTAATGATGGAGGAAGGTGTGACACAGACTCTCAGGGATCCTCCATCCCCCTGGCAAGGAGGTGTTCATCTGTAGGGACAATGCCCATTCAGTTTCCCAGTACATATGTTGGGGCAGGAGCCTCCTCCCACGGGGGACCAGTCTGCTATGAAGCTGGAGAGAACCCCTCATCCTGAGCCCTGGCTCCCCTGCAGGGAAGCCACAGCTAGGTGGGAAGCAGAGCACTGACTCAGACCCCAGCCCATAGCAGCTAGGGAGAGTTGTTCCCAGGATGGACCTGGAGATCTCCCAGTCTCAGGAAAACCTGTGTTCCCTTTGTTGCTGTTAAGAAAGGGAGGGCAGGTGAATCTTGGAGCTGCTGGACCTCCTTGTTACTGGCTTGGGATCTTTTCTTGCCCATTTGCTTTCCCTGCCTTCTTCCCTGTGTCTGTCATGGTGGCCTCAGCAGTTCCCAGCCGGTTATATTATGATTAGGAAACTGGTGACCCAATCTAGGACCCTAGAACCCCACTTCTTACCCCTGCTGCCTCCCTCAGGAGACCCTGTGCTTCCATTTCAGCTTTCCCGAAGGCTGTTCTGGCCCCATCTGCTATCCTGCAGCCCCGGCAGCACCCTGCTAAGATGTCCCTGCTTCTTCCTGAGGCAGGCCGGCCTGCCTTGTCCCCAGGACACAGCCCTCCTCCAGGGGCCCCAGGATACCCTACTGGAGTCAGAACAACCCATCAGCCATCTACCACCCTGGCCCTACCAACATTCCTTCCCACACAGTTGCTATCCACCCCATTACCAAGTTCTTCTCTACTGGGGACCCTCAGCCCCCCTCCACCTCTCCAGGGGGAGGCAGTGGGGACTCCTTCCCCCAGGGGCCCGGAAGGCGCAAGGCTGGGGACAGGGCTGTCTTCCTGCTGGTACCAGGGAGCCACACATGAGCCAGGGAGCCGCTGGAGCCAGCCTGGATGCTCTCAGTGCTCTTGTCAGGTAGGCGTGAAGTCCCCGGGTTGCCCTGATGGAGCGTTTGGGGTCTGCCCATGGCTGCAAAGCCCGCTTGTGTGTCCAGGATGGAGAGGTGACCTGTGGAAAAGTGAGGTGTAATGCTACCTGTTCCCATCCAATTCCACCCAGAGACGGGGGGTGCTGCCCGTCTTGTACTGGTAAGAGCCGATGGGGAGGGACCCAGCCCTGCTCTTCCTTCCTCTATAGCCTCTTGAAGCCCAAAGCCTATTTATTATTCAGCTTCCCTCACAATCAGTTCTTAGAGTCACCTGGAAGGCCGGTTCTGATGGAGGTTCAGGGTTGGGGCCTAAGACTAGACAAACGGCTGCTCTGGAATCTCACTTTGAGATTCTGTGTCTGTGCCGAAGTACTTTTCAAGGAGAACCATTCATCTGGCTGCTCTTCTTGGCCAGCCAGCCTGCTTGCCTGCCCACCGGCCCTCTGATCTCTCCCTCCCTCCCTCCCATGAGTCCACATCCATTCTGTTTTCTCCTTGCCCTGTCCCACCTGCTCTTGGATTGCTAGGGGACAGTCATTTCACTTCCTCTCATGGGCTGGGGCCGGGCTTAGTGCTTGCTTAGTGTGTGCGATGTAGGTTCTGGGTCAATCTGCAGCACCACAAAAATGAAAATTTCTCCCCAGGGTTTGGCAAGGAAGTGCCTGTATTGGTTGTCTTAGAGATGATTTCCCTTTTTGCTATGTTCCACCTATGTATTGGGACCTAATGGAAAGAACTGAATTCTCTTTATAATCAAGATTGTGGAACCTTTCAGGTCTCCTGCTGGTACATAGTGATAGTTCCTTTTTTTTTTTTTTTTAATTTTTATTTTTTATTTTTTGGTTTTTTGAGACAGGGTTTCTCTGTGTAGCTCCTGACTGTCCTGGAACTCACTCTGTAGACCAGGCTGGCCTCGAACTTAGAAAACTGCCTGCCTCTGCTTCCCAAGGGCTGGGATCAAAGGTGTGCGCCACCACCACCTGGTGATATTTCCATTTTATGGTGAAAATTGCAGAGGCAAGGTGACATGGGCAAGGCTGCTTGGGTAAATGGAGCTGGAATTTTCCATTTGGACCCTGACCTGTCTTGTGTGGTGGGATACACTTGGATGAACACTCAGGGCCACCGCAGCTGATCTTGCATGTGTCTCCCGTGTTGTTTCCCAGAGGTCACTATGTCTGGGCATCCAGGGTGGTGAGAGGAGCTTCTAGAAGTATTACGCCTGGCGAAGTAGAAACCTCAGGTGTCCTCTTTGAGGAGGCTGATGTCCCCACCTCTGTTTGCTTGCTTGTTTGCTTGTCTTTCTAAGGCTGCTTTCACAGTGGTGCCATCCGAGAGGAAGGGGACGTGTTTTCACCTCCTGAAGAGAACTGCACTGTGTGTGTCTGCCTGGTGAGCAACCTGAGATCCTGGGTGTTTCCCTAACCTTTGGGAGTTGTCAAGGAGGGAACAGATCGGATGTTGAAGGGAGCTTGTGTCAGGGCTTTGGGTCTAAACCGAGCTTGAGAGGGTCACAGAAGCATCCAAGCTCAGGCCGACAGACTTGGGAGGCATCTGCTGTGCATGAGAAAGCCAGGGCAGAACAGGGTCCATCTGTTTGGGAAGAGGAGGATGGAACTCTCTCAGGAACTTCACCAGGGAAGTTTTCTCCAGGCAAAATATTTAGTACCACAACAAAGGTGTCCACTGGGGGAGAGAGCAGCCTCATTAAGCCTTCTGGCTGTCGTCGTCGTCTTCTTTTTTCTTTCTTTGGTTTTTTTGACACAGGTTTTCTCTGTAGCTTTGGAGCCTGTACTGGAACTCACTTTGTAGGTCAGGCTGGCCTCAAACTCACAGAGACCTGCCTGTCTCTGCCTCTTGAGTGCTGGCACTAAAGGTGTGTGCCACCACCGCCCAGCTCCCCCGGCCTTCTTAAGAGTATTTTCGTTTTTGGCAAGTTCACTCCTCAAAGAGCAATCATAAGCATTTACTGTGCCTTCAGGCACAGGCTTGGTGCCCTTCCTCTGTTCCCTAACCAGAGGCTCCCAGCAAGTACAGGGTAGGTGATGCTGTCCCTGATCCACAGATTCAAAGTGGGTCTGTTACAGGCTGTGACTACCAATCCTTGCTGCCACCCTCTGTCCAACTTTAAACATAGCCCCTGGGGTGGCCACAATGGTGGGTGGGTGGTAGATAATGAGTGATACACAGAATGCCAATAGCATTCATTTAGCTTTTCCTGTGTGCTAAGCATGCAGAGAATAGGAACTCACGTATATTCTCCCATTTTTATATAGTGAGATGGATGCTGAATCCACCCATGTTAAAAGCTCCTGGAGATGTAATATCCTTTGTATAAAATCTTGTTAGTGGAGGCTTTCTTTGGGGCCACCAACCAACTCCCAAATTAGATTTATTATTAATTATGAATGCTCCGCCTTAACTTCAGCTCGTTTCTTGCTATCTCTTATAAATTAAATTAATCTGTTACGTTTCATCTATATATCGCCTTGGGCTTTTTACCTTTCTTTCATTCCGTATGTATTATTCCATGTCTTGCTGAGTGGTGGCTCCCTGGCTGGCCTAGAGTGTCTCCTTCTCTTTTCTTCTTGGTCTCTCTTCCTTCATTCTCCCTCAGCCGAAATTCCTCCTATTCTCTCTGCCCTGCCTATTCCTTTTCTGCCTAGCTATTGGCCATTCAGCTTTTTCTTAGATTAATCATGTGCCTTACTTGGGCAGGCAAGGTAAAATAGCAACACATCTTTACATAGTTAAACAAATGCAGCATAAACAAATGTAATACATCTTTGCCTGGTTAAAGTAATATTCCACATTACCAATGTAACACATCTTTACATAGTTAATGACCCTAATGCTGGAGACTTTTTAAATTTGAACTTCAAAGTTGTTTTTAAAGATGTATTTTGTGCCGGGTGTGGTAGCACATCTTTTAAGCTCTTGAGATGCATAGGCAGGTGAATCTCTGTGAGTTTGAGGCCAGCATGGTCTACAGAGTGAGTTCCAGGACAGCAGAACTGGGAATACATAGTGAGATTCTCTCTCCAAAAAAAGTGCTTTATTGTTTGACTTTTTAGTTATTTATTTAAGAAGATTTATTTATGGTCTGGAGAGATGGCTCAGTGCTTACGAGCACCAGCTGCTCTTCCAGAGGACCTGGGTTCAATTCCCCACACCCACACGGCAGCTCACAACTGTCTGTAACTCCAGTTCCAGGGGATCTGGCACTCTCATACAGACATACAAGTAGGAAAAAAAAAAAACATTTGTTTATATATTTTCCTGCATATGAGCGTTTTGGTTGCATGTGTGTCTATGCACTACTTGTGTGCCTGGTGTCCCCAGAGGCCTGAAGACAGTGTCAGATCCCCTGGGACTGGAGCTACAGATGGTTCTGAGACACCCTGGGGGTGCTGGGAACTGAACCTGGTTCTTCCGCAGGAGTGAAAAATGCTCTCCACCACGAGCCATTTCCCTAACCCCTATTGTTATTGTGTGTGTATGTGTGCAGAGGTGCTCAAGGTTGCTCACAGATGCCAGATTAAGGTATCAGATCTCTTGGAGATAGAGTTAAGGGCTATTATGAGCTTCCTGATGTCGGTTCTGGGGACCAAACTCTTGTTCCTTCAAAGAGTAGGAAATATTTTTAACCACAGAGCCATTTCTCCACCTCCTAACTTGAAATATCTATCTATCTATCTATCTATCTATCTATCTATCTATCTATCTATCTATCTATCTATCTATCTATGTTTGTGGAGAAAAAAAGTCTCAGTTAGCCCTGGATGGCCAGAAACTTGCAATGTAGACCAGGCTGGCCTCAAACCCACAGAGATCTGCCTGCCTCTGCCTCCCGAGTACAGGGATTTAAGACATAGTTGGCAGAGAATCTGATCCCACCCCTGTCCCCACAACCATCTTTTGCCTCCTCAGGCTGGAAATGTGTCTTGTATATCCCCGGAGTGTCCCCCTGGTCCCTGCAAGACTCCCCCACAGTCAGATTGCTGTAGTTGTGTCCCAGGTAGGTGATGCTTGGGGATTTTTGTTGTTGGGGTGTGGGGGAGAAGTGCCTTTGGAGCGTGTATTTGGGTAGGAGAGGGGAGACCTCCTCCTGCTTTAAAAGGACAGGTCAAATGATATAAGTCAATTACCCATTTTAATGAGTGTCTCCTATGTGCACTATGTTCGTAGCTTGGCCTTCCCCTGTCTCTAGGACACATCTTGAGTGTGGGCAGAAGGAGCTATGAGCCCATTCCTGGCACTAGTCTGCTTCTGGGTGTGAAGGAATATCTTTTAACCCACTGTGACATAAGAACATGGTTTCCTATGACTTAGGGAAAAAACAAACAAACAAACCCAGGCCTTTCAGGTAATCAAGGTAAGCAGATGAGGCCGCAGGGTGAGACGCCCAGGTCCCTTAGCACTCACCCCCATAGTAGAGTTACTCACTAAGCCTGCTGTCTTGTGGGGTGAGACACCCCCTTTCCTCGGAATGGACACCTCTCTTTGTCTAGCAGAACCTTAGTGTCTCTTGTCTTTGGACCCCACTGCATGGGGGCTGCCTGCTTGTGTGCAACATTCATAACTGCCCTTAAAAAGCTCTCACTTGAAGGACAATTGTCTTAACACCCTCCCTTGAAGGACAGCCTGTCTTAACATGCCCCCCCCAACTCCCATCTACTTTAATCTACTTTCTTCCTTCTCCATTTCCAAGTTAAGTCTAACAATGACCTCATCAACAGGAAGGGAGTTTCCCTACCAGCACGTGCCCATGCTGTTTGGGGCACCTGCCCTCTCTTGGTCTGTTGAGTCCTTGAGTTGTCACAGTGAGGGGATCATGCTCACTGCTCCTTTTTAGTGAAAAAGCAGATTCAGAGAGGCCAAGTTACTGTCTGCAGACTCACAGCAGTTAGTGATGGAGCTGAACTACAATTCAAATAGGCCTGATTTCAGACCTGCCATAGTTGTTGTTGTTGTTGTTGTTGTTGTTTTTTTAAGACAGGGTTTCTCTGTGTAGCTTTGTCCTGGAATTCACTTTGCAGACCAGGCTGGTCTCGAACTCACAGAGATCCTCCTGCCTCTGCCTCCTAAGTGCTGGAACTAAAAGTGCATCACCACCGCCTGGCTGCTGGCATACTTTTAAAATATCTTGGGCCAGTGGAATGGCTAAGCTAGTAAAGGTGCCTAATAACCTAGGTTTGATTCCTGGAACCCACCTGGTAGGAGGGAATGGACTTCTGCAAGTTAACCACTCATGGCTACACCATGCTTCTCCCCCAATAAATAAATACATATAATTACAAATTTAAATTCTGGTTTTTTTCACAGTACTAGAGATTGAACCCAGGGATCTGTGCAAGCTGGGTGAACACTTTATTTCACTGAGATACATCCCCATTTTATGCTTTTTTACTTTGAGACAAGATCTTATTAAGTTGCCTGAGCTGGCCCACGACTCCCTCTATAATCCAGTCAGGCCTTGAGCTTTCTTTCCATCTTCTTGCCTCAGCCTTGCAAGTAGCGGGCATACAGGTTTGTGCCATCAGGCTTGGCATACATTTCTTTTCTAACTCAAGACATTTTGTTATTATTATTTTTGTCTTGACTATGTAGACTTTGTCTAACTGTGTAGACCAGGCTGGCCTCAAACTCACAGAGCTATGTCTGCCTCTGCCTCCGGTGTGCTGGGACTAAAGGCATGAGACACCATGTCTGGCTTTTTTTTTTTTTTTTTAAGTTCTTTTTGTACAGTCAGTATGAAACCTGTGATGTGGGATCTGTCAGCTCCCATGCACACTGAAGGGCAGTAGCTTCAAGACTACTGTTTTTTGTTCTAAGTCAGCTCTGAGTTGACTTGAACCCAAGGCAGCCTGAATGGATATACTCTTTGCCAGGCTTTGGGGCTGGTGTTACCCTGGGGAGGGTCTTCAGATGTTCTTTGCCCATCATCTGGCACGCTGCTCTGAGTTTCTTACTCTGTAGCTCTTTGGGCTCCCTCTGCCTCTGGGGTAATGAATGACTCGTGTGGGGTCTGGGATTTGGAGGCTGAGAAGCACTCTGAGTCCTGGCCAGGGCAGCTGCCCCGCCCCTCCCTGTCCATCTGTCCACTCATCTAGCTGCTCCCCGAGGGAAGCCCTGAGTCCTGCCTTTGTCTCCTGCAGGGAGATGCTACTTCCATGGCCAGTGGTATACAGACGGGGCTGTGTTCAGTGGAGGCGGTGACGAATGTACCACCTGTGTCTGCCAGGTAGGGTGTGAGGTTCCTGCACCTGCTGACTCCATGGAAGATGGGAGGGAAGCTGGGTGGGCAGCATAGGAATTTACCCAAGATGCTTTGCCATGGAAAAGATAACCTGCTATGCATCAAACGGGGAGAGACTGGGATAGTAATCCCTGTAGAAATCTCCCATGCCTTTCAGCAGTCTCCATGAAGTCAGTGTTTTTCACTTCTGTATTGGTAGAGCACTTACTATGATCTAGGGACATGCCCTCAGCCCAGAAAAGCACCAGCCCCCTCTGACTGGCAACCTACAGCCTAGGTGGGCATGGCTTGGCACAGGATCCTCAAACCTTCCTGGGAGGAGAGAGGGCCAGTGGAGACTTGAGGGGTGACTAGGACCAGTCAGGTGCTCAGGGTGCTGCACCTCTGGTTGGAGCAGCAGAAGCTGATGGGCTTTTCAGGGATGTGTCTTCCGGCTGGAAGCAGGCTGGGAGGTGTGGTCTTTACACAGTAGTTCAGCAGCTGGTGAGTGCGCTCAGGAGAATCGGGCCAGGGAAATAGCAGAGGGCAGAGAGGATTGTGGGAAGAGCTCTTCCACTTGTCCCATGGGAGCTCTTCTCTGTGGATAGTGTTGCAGAGAGTGCCAGGGGAGGGAGCTGGGCTCTCACAGCTGTGCATCAGACATGTCTGTGCATAGGAAGCCAAGCATCCTCATTGTCCAGGGAGGATGTTTGTGTCCAACAGGGGAAAAGCAGAAACTGCGGACCGGGCTGAGCTGCTAAGGCTTGGAGTGGTGGAATGCCAGGATGAGGTTGATGTCTGGGATAGTCTCCTAGATGTGGACTAGAGTAGATTAGAGGGGTGGGAGTGGAGGGTGGTAGGAGGGAGTCTTGATGGAACTAGGGTTAAGAGGGAGGATGGTAGATGGTAGAGACCCAGCGGAGCAGGGGGAACACCACAGTACCTTCCTTCATCACCCTCCCCAAAGGACTCACCCTTTTTGCTCCTGTCTCTCTGGATATTTCTTTGTCACTTTTACTTGAAGGTCTAGAGGATGGCTGCTCACCAGCCTTCTCTTCAGCCCCAAGTGGCCCAGGGTTGGGGAACCACCCTCACTGATGCATGCATACCCTTGTCTCTCTTCCAGAACGGGGAGGTAGAGTGCTCCTTCACACCATGTCCAGAACTGGAGTGTCCCCGGGAGGAGTGGTGGCTGAGCCCAGGACAGTGCTGTTTTACCTGTCGGGAGCCCACACCCACCACAGGTGAGGTCCAGCCTTACGGCCCCCAACACAGAAGGGAGGCTGGGCTTCCCTTACTTGGACTGATCATATGTGTGTTAGTGGTGTGAGCATGTGTGTCTTATAGTATTGTATGTGAGCTGTGACTATGTGAGCGTGTGTTTGTATGTGTAAAAGTTTGCACACAGATTAGGCGAACACATGTGGTTTGTCTGTGAGCATGGGGTTTCATCTTTAGAAGGGTGGTTCTGGAGAGCATTCCTGCCAACTTTGTTTTTTGTTTGTTTTGGAAGTGTTGTGGGTCCATTGAGTCATTGAGTGTGCCTTACCACTGAGCTACACCACCCCCCCCCCCCCCCCCCCCGCTATCTGTCAAGTGTCTTTTCCCTTTGCTACCTCTCCTGCCAGGCTGCTCTCTAGATGACAACGGGGTTGAGTTTCCGATTGGACAGATCTGGTCACCTGGTGATCCCTGTGAGTTATGCATCTGCCAGGTGAATGACAACCTGCTCGCCTTCAGCTGCTTTACCCGGCTGTCCCATCTGCCTCCCTTACAGGAGACCCTGCTCCTGCAGAGCCAGGGCACGGCCAGCCTGGCCTCAGTTGCCCCTCCTAGGCAGGGTTGGGGTGATTGAGGGCAGTAGAGCTTGGTGGCTGCCTTAGATACTGTGGGTGGCCCTGCTTGGGCTGGGAGCTGCTGCCATGAGAGTCTGCCCCAGGGGCCTCAGGAGGCCTCAGACGGGATGGCCTGGGGTGTAGCTAGCTCAGAGAGCTGGAGGTGCCATTTCTGGGCCATGTGATGTTTCATCTTGACGTGCACCTTGTCATGGCTGAGTAAGAGTGTGTGCTTGAAAGCCACATATGGCTGTTTATGAAGAAACCACACAATGTTTTCCCTTTCCACTCTGAGTGCCTTGGCTTCCTGAGGGCTTTATTCCTCCAAATAGAGCAGGGCGGGATATCATTAGGGAGCCCCTGCCAGTCATGCAGGACCTCCTGACACCACATCTTAATCTCCAGATGACTGTTTAGGGTGCTTCGTGAGAGGCCAGCTGGAGCATGTTTGCTGCAGGGAGGGGGAAGTAAAAGCCTCTCTCTGCTGAGGCTCTCCTTCATGGCTGATCGTGGCACTCATTTTACAAGAGAGTAAAATAAAAGGCCATAATGTTCAAATTCTTAAGAGGAGAGGGAAGAGAGAGAGAGAAAAGGAAGAACCCTCATAAGGCATTTCCGGTGGAATAGTTTTCTATAAAAATAGGATTTTATTGTTCTCGATAGGTTTGGGGTGAGCCAGGGTTCCAGGGGAATGCTGAGAAGAATGTGGAGGTGGTGATGGTATGGCCTCAACTGCTGCTGAGGGACAGGATAGGAAGCAGAGGGGACTTCCCTGTCTTATGAAAGTCAGAACCTTCCTGGAGGTTCTATCAACTGTGTTAATCAGCTGATCTTTATTGGCATGGGGGAGGTGTGGGGAGAGTCTGCCATTCCCCAGCCTCATCCTGGCATCCTTGAGGGCAAGCCACGGACAGTGGGTGGCATTGCCTTTCCTTTGGTATGGGGAAGCTGACCCTGCTGTCTCAAGTCTTGGTGAAGTCCCTTCTTCCTCCAGGCAAATGGCTCTGTGAGCTGCAGGAGGACAGACTGTGTGGACTCTTGCCCTCACCCCATCCGGATCCCTGGACAGTGCTGTCCTGACTGTTCAGCAGGTAACTCTGGCTAGGTCCTACCTCACCCTCTTCAGCAATTCTCCTGGAGTCCCTGCCTGCCTTACCTCAGTGTCCTCCTCACTGAGTACCCCTGGACCCGCATCTCCCTCACTCCCAGAAGCCTGTGCAGCACCCACAACTCAGAGAAGTAAAGTGGCTTGCCTGAGGCAAGGCCTCCATGCGGGACCCATGCATGAAAATCCAGAGCTTACAATCCTCTTGGGGTGACATAGGAACCAGACCTGGAAAACCAAGCCAGTGAGAGCAAACGCAAATAAGGCTAGATTTTTTTTCTGCAGTAATTTTGACCTTTTCCACTATTTCAAAATTAAATTTGTCCTAGAAAAGCAATAAAGCCAGAATACATTTAAAAAGGGCCATTTACAACTGTCAGCCCTGTGATTATGTCTTTGTAGTGTTTGTAACGTGCATACCTTTTGATAGATGTGTGTTACGGGTTTTTCATCCTTAAAAAAAATCCCTCCCCAAGGGTGGTGCTTGTTGGCACATGCCTATAATCCCAATACTTGGGAGAGAGAGGCAGGAGGATCAAGCCTGGGCTAGATAGCAAGACAAATCTCAAAAAATAAAATGAGATAAAATAAAATGAATCGTATTATGTTGAAGGGTATAGTTCAGTGGGAGAGTGCTTGCTTAGAATACATGAGACTCCGAGCTTCATCCCTTACTCCAAGTACAGACAACAACAAAACAGATGAAATAAAAATTAAAATATTTTCTGTCTCATCTGCTTTTATTATATATATGCAATTATATATATATATATAGTATGTACATATATATGTAGAATATATATTTACATTGTATCTATATAACATCTTATATTGTAATATATAAAATTATATATTACACATAAATATATATAATTACATACACATACATATATATGTGTGTATTACACTTTTTTTTTCTTTTGAGTCAGGTCTCACTATGTAACCTAACTTGACCTGGAATTTGCTTTTTAGCCCAGGCTGTTCTAGAATTCCATGCTCCTGCCTCAGCTCCTGAAAATTGGAATTCACAGACATGTGCAGTCGTGTGTTTTTGTACTTACCAGTATGTGAACAATTTCATCCAAGTGGCCTCTTTCATATGGAGTCTTAGGAGACATCAGGAATGGGGGCATGGGGGACTGGTCCGGACAGGTGGGGCTTTTGTTGGTTGACTCTGGAGAGGGACAAAAACTTTGTGTCTCCAGCACTACCTTGAGCCTTATGAGTCATCTGCCTATCCCACCCCAAGTTCTTCAGTGACACTCCACCCCTATTATAAAGATACTGAAGCAAAACTCTGTAATGTCCTCCTTACTTAATCCAGCCTTAGAAAGCAGCCAGCACCCATTCCAAGGATGCTGATCGATTGCCTAACTTCTGGGGAGGTGTGGGGCCTGACTCTTGTTATCCAGATAAACTTCCAACCTTTGCCCTGGCCAGGCACCTGGCCACTACCAGCCACCCTTCTGGCCAATGCTCACCACATGCTCTGTTTGGCAGGCTGCACCTACACAGGCAGAATCTTCTACAACAATGAGACCTTCCCATCAGTGCTCGACCCCTGTCTGAGCTGCATCTGCCTGGTATGCACCACCCAACCAGACCCAAATTCCCAGAATCAGCTCCTGAACCCGGAGAAGCTCACTGCTGGTCCTGGTGAAAGCCATCTGGCATGATCTTTAGCCAGGGTCAGGGAATCATTTGAAAACTCTGGCTGATCCACTATGCCTGCTTCTGGGTTGCTGAACTCAGTGAATCTCATCATTTCTGGATGAAAGAACCAGACTGCAGAGACCAAGTCATTTGCTCAGGGTTTCATGACTGGTTGAAGGGCCAGGCACTGAACCTTAGTATACACACTCCTGGGTCACACTTATACCCCAGTCTAAAAGGCAGGTTAGTGCATGCTGAATTATCAAGTTTGGAAAATGAAGGACAGAAGTCCCATCACTTATCATGCTGATAAGTTAATGCTTGGCTAGAGCTGCCTAGTACAGTGTGGGTGTGCCTGTAGGCTGTCAGGGAGCCTCAGTCCTGGTATGTGTGAATAGGGAAAAACAAGGTCAACACATGGATTGAGAAATGTAGGGTAAATGTCTCTGTTGCCTCGGAGTAGCCCGCTGTCCACTGTCCCTGTATATTCTCAGGCACATGCTTTGGGGAATGTTGCTTCTTGGACCTTTCTCTGAGTTTCTTTGCTTTTTATGATTCTGCGGATGGAACCTAGAGTGAACATTTTTCCCGTTGAGCCACACCCCACTTCTCTCCCTTGTTTTTTGCTGCTAAGCTTCCCTGGATAATTATACATTTTCCAATAGGTCAGGTGACCTCATGGATGAAGTCAGGCTTTGTTCTCGAGAAGTTAGGAAGGACTCTAGATGCCAAAAGGTCACCCCTCAACCCCTATCTCACCATGGATGACCCATGTACTGCCAGATGGATCCGCCTTGCTGGGAGCCCTGGGCTTTCCCTAGCATTGTACCAGCTGTCTCCAGTGAAGGGCCATGTGTGTTCTGTGTTCTACAGCTGGGTTCGGTGGCCTGTTCACCTGTGGACTGCCCCATCACCTGTACCTACCCCTTCCACCCGGATGGCGAGTGCTGCCCTGTGTGCCACGGTGAGTGGAAAAAGTCACCCACACCAATTCTCCCAGATGATCTGGATCTCATCATCCTGTGTCCTCTGACTCTGCAGACTGTAACTTTGAAGGGAGAAAGGTAGTGAATGGTCAGGTGTTCACCTTGGACAACGAGCCCTGTACCCGATGCATCTGCCAGGTGAGTTGGCCTGAAGGCCTGGGGCTGACAACCATGCCTGCATGCCACACACGGTGGCCTGACCTAATCTGCCCATCCTGCTGTCCACTTTCATCTCTGCCTCTGGCCACCCAATCCGCTTTGGAAGTCCAGATGAAGGTGTCTTGCCATGGTTGGCATTACCTGTCACCCAGACCGGGCCCAGGCATTTCAGTCTCTACCCAACACTTTTCTGTGTGTCCAACTGTTGACACAAGAGGCCCTGGAGAGCTCTGCCACAGGTAGGCAGGATACTCTGGGATTCCTCATGGTGTCTTTCTGCTTCTTCAGCTGGGAGAGGTGAGCTGCGAAAAGGTCCCTTGCCAGCCAGTCTGTACTGACCCTTCCTGCCCAGGTAAGCAGGCCTTGAGCCTGAGCTTTCCCTGCCATCTTCCACTGCAAACTTTCCCAAAGACATAGGCCTTAAGAAGGGGTGCCAAGGGGACCCAGGCCCAGACACCATGATTTGCTCAAAGTCACACGATTATGGCAGGCTGCTGGTTTGGGCTGTTTATTATGAAATACCAAATGCCATATGTGTTATATTGTCTGACCCCCCCCATTTATTTTTATTGATTTATTTTTTCCTGTGTGTGGTGTTATGGGTCAAGTTCAGCGTCCTCTGCAGGCGAGGCTAGTGCTGCACCTCAACCATCACCAGCTCCACCCACTCCTCACCCCTTTTTGAGACAGGAGTTTTACGTTGCCCAGGCTGGCCTTAAGTTCTTGGATTTAAGGAATCCTTCTGCTTCAGCCCTGTGAGTGCTGAGACTACAGTCATGGCCACCAGACTCAGCTAATCCATGTGGCTTCTGATGCAGTTACAACCAGGGCACAGTGCTCCGTTGTACAGCTCTGAAGTCTTGATGAGGACCACAGCTGGCCTCTTAAGAAAGGTCCCCTTATCTGTGAGGGGCACTCTGTGGGACTTCAGATGGTGTCTGAAACTGGATGGTACCGAACCCTACCCAGGAGCACTGTCAAACTTACAACAGAGAGGTTCCTAAGTGGCTAACTGATGGGGGGCACACACAGCGTGGATACCCTGAAAATGTGTGAGTCCCAGCCTGGGCAAGATGGGGTGAGGTGATATAGACCTTCGTGCTACTCTTCATTTCTGAACATTTCTATTTGCTATTTAAAGACAGCAATTGATCATGATAACTGAAGCGTCAGAAAACAAAACTTCAGATAGTGGGCATTTACCGTATTCTCTTGAGCTGGTTTTCCTACCTCCCATCTTCCCAGTTCACTGAGCTCCCCTCCCTCCCTCCCTCCCTCCCTCCCTCCCTCCCTCCCTCCCTCCCTCCCTCCCTCCCTCTCTCCTTCCTTGTATACCTATTGCCCTGGGCCTCCTTCCCTCTCTCTGTGTCTCCTTCCCTTCCTCCCATACACCTGTAATGTACCTCCTGTGGAAAATTCTGGGTCAGCTTTTTTATTCCCATCTTGTGGGTTGTGTCAGGACTGTGCGGTTGATAGTGGGGGCAATTGAGTCAGAGAATATCAGGAGTAGATCGGGGTCTCTCACAACAAATTACCATAACCTGGTCCTGAAGGGGATCTGAGGAAACATACAATGATGCAGATGGCTCTCATAGTCTCCAAAACTGTTTAGAATTTTAATTTTTCCAGTTAATCTATGCATAGGTGTGTCTTTTTTTTTTTTTTTTTTTTTTTTTTTTTACATATTTCCAACTTCTAGGAAGATGGTGGACTTTTCCCCAGTGTCTTGTGGATGACATTGCTTCCTGGGAAATGCCTGTCTCAAATCTTTGGCCTCCCAAAGGCATGACAGGATGTGGTCTTCTCCGGGGAGGTTTAGGGCTGGGAACAGTGCTGGGGACTATTGGGGACTTGGAGGACCATGCTTTCTTTTATCTACCACATGCTCCTTTAAACTTGATAGGTATCACCCCTCAGCTTTTCAGAAACTGTCACCAGCACACCAGTCAGCTGCTGAGTGTCACCTCCTGTAATAGCCATTGAGCAACTCAACAGGAATGCCTGGCTCAAGGGCCTGGCATTCTCTCTCTTTTCCAGATGAGGTTGTAGAGCCTGGGGGAAGAAAGTTTCTAATTGGAGGTACTCTACTCTCTCTCTCCTTATCCCTTGCACTCTGTCACTCCTCTATGTAAGGAGACTAAGCCCTGAAGAGGAGACAGGCTGAGACAACTTCATTTCCTAAAACACACTGTCAGCTCTGCTCACCACACCCTACTCCTACCCATAGCCACCATGTCATTGAAAGAGAGTAGGAACTGATTCCTTTGGTGACATAAAAATAACACAAGAGACTGATGGAATGGCTCCACAAGTAAAGGCGGCACTTGCCTTAAAGCCGGATCGATGAGCCAAGTTTGGTCGCCATAATACGCATGGTAAAAGGAGAAAATGGACTCTTTCAAATTGTCCTGTGACTTCCATGTGTATGTTGTAGCACGCGGCACGCGTGCGCGCCCGCACACACACACACACACACGCACACACACACACGCACACGCGCACGTGCACACACACACACACACACAGTAATAAAAATAATAATTTCCTTCAGACACAGTTCATATACCACCCAGTTTACACATTTAAAGCATATGACATGAAAATGGTTAGCTATGTGCCATTGCCCTCTAGAGGACTTTCCCATTATACCATAGGCGGAGCAGCATCTACTGCCCCTCAGCTGAACCTTTGCTTGTTGCTGGCTCTTTTATTTTTGTGTAGCTTCCTTTCCTCCTATGAACCACACCTTTAAAGTGAGAGAGGTGGTAGGTTGAGACTGTTATTCATTTACTCATTCGTTCATTCATTCATTCATTCATTCATTCATTCATTCATTCAGTGCTGGGGGATTGAATCTAGTTCACTGCACTTGTCTAGTATGCATGATGCTCTGGTTCAATTCCCAGCACCACATAAATTAGGTATAGTGGTGCATGCCTGTAATCCTAAGGCAGGAGGATCAAAAGGTCAAGTTTGCTGGGCTAGGAGGCACAAACCTTTAATTCCAGAAGGCAGACAGATCTCTGTGAGTTCAAGGCCAGCCTGAACTGCACACTAAGTGCCAGGACAGACAAGATTACATATAGAGATCCTGTCTCAAAAAGAAATAAATAAAAAGTTGTGATCCTTAGCTATCTAGTGAGTTTGAGGCTAGCCTAAGTCATGTGGAATAGTATTTCAAATTTTAAAAGACAGATTGTATAATTTTGGATAGCTTTAGGTTCATAGCAAAACTGAGTGGAACACAGAGCATCTCTGTATCTTCTGGCTCCACAGATCTGTCTTTCCCTTGGCAACACCCTGCAGCAGAGTGATTATATCTGCTGTCATTGGTGCACCCAACCTGACCTGTCATGATACCCACAGTCCATAGCTAGCATGGGGATTTAGGCTAAGGCATCCTGTACAGTCTTGTATCTGGCCTTAAGTCTATGGGGGCCAGTTTTGCAAATGGGAAGCCAGAGGCCCAGCATTAGACTCTCTTTGATCTCTGGCACTCCTCCATGAAGGAAACTAAGACCCAAAGAGGAGACAGGCTGAGTCATGAGCTTTCCAAAAGTTCCTGGGAGGGCTGTTTTAGTGAATTTCTCTCTTCCATTCATGGTTTCTTTTCAGCCTTCTATCCATGGAGGTTGGAGGCAGCCCACTATGGCCCTCACCAGGTGTGCTGAATCCCCTGTGAAAATGGAGTAGGGTGTCCATCCCCAGAATGGTTTATGTCAGACCCTGTTTCCCTACCTCTGTCTAGATTCCCTCTCTCCTCCAAAAGAAAGGCAGCAACCCTCCCTTCACAGAGACCTTGGCAAAGCTGCTCAGAGCCTGCGTGGAGATTCTGAAGTCCCTGCCAACTGTAGCTCTTGCCTAGGGCCTCTATCAGCATCACCTGCAAGGCCCATGTTCCAGCTCCTGCAGCTACTTTTGAGAACAAACGTGTCTGGCGAGCAGACTGTACTCCCAGGCCCACCAGTAGCCCACACCTCATCCTCACTGCCATCAGAACCAGAGGGCACATTTCTAGGGGAACTGGGAGCTTCTCAGCCTTCTGAGCCCTCAGCAGGATCTTCAGTATCTCCTGGATCCTCCACTCTACCTCAAGCCTTTCCAGGGACTCCTTGGTCACCTGGGACTCCAGAGAGTTCTTCCTCAACCTTTCGGGCAGCATTCCAGTGGCCTCTGTCTGCCAACCTCTTAACTGAAGCTGAAGCACCTTCAACGACTGTTCCTGACCTCTCAAAGACCCTCACAACCCCCTTGAAGCCTCAAAGACTCTCTGCAACTGTCCTGGACACCCCCGACCATGTTCCCCAACAGCCCACAACAGATATCTCAAAGAAGGAAGAGTCTGCCATCTGAGTGGATCACCATGCCTGGGAGCTCTCTGCCAGTGGCCTCGTGGGTGTGTGTGACCCTGGGGTAACCCAGTGGGGTCTCAGAGAAGACCTTAGAGTAAGACACTATCTGTAAATCAAGGAGAGAGGCAGTGGAAGAAATAGCCCAAACATTCTTGACTTTGGACTTTTAGCCTCCAGAGTTGTGAGAATATCTATTTCTGTTTAGCCCCCATCCTTGACTGTGGTATTGGTTACAGTGGCCCTGGTACATTAAGCAGTGTTCACTCTTGATTGGGCAGAGCCATGCCTAGTGTGATCCTGTCACTGCACACTATTGACATTGATGTCACATACCATCCATCCTAGAAATATTTTGAGGGTGTCTGTTGTCTCTGTCATTATGCTTTGTTTTCAACACTGATTGCGTGTAATGTTCATTTCAAGATGTGTTCAGAACATGTGTTATATCCCCATTCCTATTTTAAACACTGAGCTGCTAAATCTCTCTCCTCACAAGTTTACAGTCTGGGGAAGGGACAACTGCTCAGAAGATAAGTGCACTTTAGAGTATGAAATGAGGATGTGGGAGGCCAGTGAAACACACACACACACACACACACACACACACACAGAGAGAGAGAGAGAGAGAGAGAGAGAGAGAGAGAGAGAGAGAGAGAGGTAAGAGAGGACCAAACTTGTTCCCTACTGTTTTCTATGTAGCCCATACTCCCCACTTTTAGTAGTTAGCAGCAGATGCCTTCCCATTTCTAATTCCTTACTTTTAGAATCTGGGGGGTAGGGGTTGCTTCCAACTTTTTCTGTTATAGGTAGATTCCCTGGGAAAACCATTACAGTTAACAAATAATTTATAGCTAATAAATAAACAAATAAATTTGTCCCAGTGGGATTAATAGGTCTAAAGGTAGAGAGGTCAGTGGTTTTGTGTTGCTAAGTAACCACTCAAGTAGAGAGAATGGATAAAACCCGCTAGAGTGGTGCCTGCATGAATGTTTGAGCGTAGCACCCACAGTAACACAGGCATTGGTGCTCAGTTACTCCACATTGGAGGCTATTTCTATAAAAAACAATTCAATCCAGAAATAACTCAGCAAAGGTAAGTTATCTTTATCTTTTATGAAGTAATGTTAATAAGGCATGGTGGCTCATACCTGTAATTACAGAACTTGGGAGGCTGAGGTTGGATGATCATGATCAGTAGTTCAAGGCCAGCCTCAGCTACATGAAATCCTGTCTCAAAAAACAAAAAACAAGGCTGGGCAAGGTGGCACATGCCTTTATCGGCAGCCTTTGGGAGGCAGAAGCAGGTGATCTCTATGAGTTCTAGGCCAGCCTGGTCTTCACAGTGAGTTCCAGGACAGTCAGGATTATGTAGAGGGACTCTAACAATAACAATAAAACCACCCTACAAAAACCAAACAAGCAAAATACCTCCCTCTCCCAGAAACAACACCAAAAGCTAAACCAAGCTGTTTAACTTTTCTTCCTTACCTTGGCATTGTCTACAGGGGGCAGGGCAGGGTGAGGACTAAGAAAAGTAGAAAGGCTTCTGGTAGAACTGTCTTCTCTAGAACCCCAGCATACACTGGGCATCACTGGCCTGCTGGCCTCTGTCAGGTGTTGGTTTTAAATAGCAATAGTTCATGATGCTACGTGATGACAGGCTGTGTTCTGAAGGTTTTAAATGATTAATTATCTTCATATGAAACCAGAGGACAACTCTTATTTCCCATAGTGGCCACGTGCTTTCACAGTGAGGGACACTGGAGGTAGGAATGGGGGCCAAAGACAGATGATCCCTGGGACGATGGTAGGGAGGCAGGACATGGGACCTGGTGGCCCTTTCAGAACATGCAGCCATTGTACACAGTGTGTGTGGTCTGGAAACCCTTCCTCCTTAAACACGGAAAATTTCTCAGTGTCTTTCAGTGTCATACCCCCCCCCCCGCTTCATTAGGTCTCCACTGTCATGTCCCTTGATCTGTCTCTGTGACTCAGGGGCAAGTTCCCAGTGAGGCCTCTATCCAGGGTGCACCACAGGCCTTACACGCCATAGATGCCCAGTGACTTTGGACCACAGCAGATGATGCTGTGTGGTGCATTGAAACAGCCTTGTTACTTTATTCTTCCTGTTCCTCTTGCTGTCTGTCTGTCTGAACCTACCTGTGGGAAAAGCCATCCAAAATCATATCCTCTTTTGTTGTAAAAAGATTTTTAAAAGATACATTTATTTTATGTGTATGAGTGTTTTGCCTGCATGTATTCACACCATGTGCATACCTGGTGCCCACAGAGGTCAGAGGAAGACATTGGATCCTCAGGAAATTGGAATTACAGATGGTTGTGAGCTACCATGTGTTAGGAACCAAACCCAGGTCCTCCACAAGAGCAATGAGTACTCTTAACTGCTGGGCCATCTCTCCAGGCTATAAGTATATCAAATTTTGACAGTCCGAATCAAGTGTCCCAATACCTGTGCCCAGAAAGGTTTGGGGTGGGTTGCCTACCTCAAGAAACTAACAACTGATTTTTTTTTTTATTTGGGGGCAGGTAAAAGGGGTTGAGCCTGGTGCTTTGCTTATACTAGCCAAGTGCTCTACCACAGAGCTATAGCCCCATACTCCTTTTACCTTTTACATTTTTGTTTTTAAAAGTTTTATTTATGTGTATGTCTGTATGTGCACCTCTGTGAGGGTACTAATGGAGGCCAGAAGTGGGCATCAGACCCTTTTGAGGTGGAATTACAGTTGTTTGTGTGCTGGGACCTGAATTCTGGTCCTCTGATAGAACAGTGACCTGAGCCATCTCTCCAGATCCTCTTTGACACTTTGGTTGGATACAGTGTATCACTAAGTTACCCAGAAGGGCCTTGAACTTACTATGTAGCCTAGAAATGCCTTGAGCTTGTGGATCCTCCTGCCTCAGCCCCTCCAGGCACTGAGATTACTGGCCTGTGCCACCAAGCCTATAAGGCAGAACCTGTTATTTTAACTATCCTTTAAACATCTTTCTGAATGGGGAGGGGGAGAGACATTGGAACAGTCCGCTCAAGCCGTCTTATCTGTCTAGAACATCCTTTGCCACTTTTTGGTGACCACTCCTTGTTCTAGCCCCATAGTTCTAAAGAAAAATGCCAGTCACCCCTAAGTCACAGACAAGACCATCTGACCAGGCAGAGCCAATCACAGCATCTCTTTCCCCTCTGCCCAAGATATTTGGCCCAGGATGGACACACCATTCCGGGTGGACCAATCCAAGTCTTCCCTGCTACTCTGGGATTTTTTTTTTCCTTCCCCATGATTTGTGTCCTTCCTGCTCAGCACTTTCAGATGTGAAATCCCAGGGCTAGTAACAGCAAAGTCCTTGACCTCCAAAATACAAGAGGAAGAAGCTGAGGGGCAAAGAGAATCAAAGGGGAGGGGAGGAGGGAAGGAAGAAGGGAAGGAAGATGTTTTGCCTTCCACGCATGTGTTTGCTGATTTCTGCACGTCACTAGTATCATCCCTAAAGTCTTTCTCTTCACTCATGCTGGCAGACTTGGCTTCTGTTACCATGGCTACTACATGGTGGAGGCTTGTTTCCTGGCACTCTGGAGACTGAGGCAGGAGGTGTGCTGAAAGTTCTAGGCTACAATAGTGAGTTCTAGGCTAGCCTGAGCTACACAGTGAGATCCTGTCTCAAAAACTAAACCAAAACAAAACTAACTCTAGCATCGCTCAGCGACCCCAAGAGAGCAGCCATTAGCACCAGTGGCTTTGGGAATGCAATCTTTATTCTCTACCCAGAACAGGGCTTTGCAGAGCTCCCAATAGCTGGAGACAGCTCTCTGGATGGGAATGCCCCATGAGCATTCATGTCTGTATGTGCCTGGCGATCCGCTGAAGGAGGTCCAGCACTTACACAGCCGGAGCCAGACCAATCCTGTTATTTGCCCGATCAAATACGGTGAAATACAGCCTTAGGAAAACATCCCCCAGCACCCACATCTCAGAGTCCAAATGGTCATCTATGCCTTCTTCAAAGTTGCTATAGCAGTTGTGTGAATGACCCTGAAAAAAGAAGAGCGATATATGAACTCAGCAGCCAGAAGCTCAGCTTCTTGCCTTTTTGTTTTGAGCCAGGGTATCATGTTGCCCAGTTTGCAGTTTGATTTCGTACTCACTACGTAGCTGAGGGTGACCTGGGATTTCTGATCTTTCTGCCTCAGCCTCTCAAGTGCTGGGATTACAGAGGTGCATAGCATGCCCACTTTATGCAGTGCTGTGGGCTGACCTTAGGGTTTCCTGCATTCTAGGCAAAAACTATCAACTGAGCTACATCCCTAGTCCTGCCAATCAGCTTGGTGTCCTCCTTTCATGGAGCTGAATGGATCTTTCTGGCTGCTGCAGGATGGCTTGCACAGCTGGGAGGAGACCCCTCCAAATGCTGTCATTTCTTTTTCCCAACCTTGGTTCAGCTGGTCCCTCTGCAGAGCAGGTCTTTCCTTCTCCCCTTTGGGTAGCCTGTGGATGAGACATGACCATCTCCAGGTACTTTTTCTTCTCCATGTCCCTGGTCTGCAGATCCATCTAATCCAGCTGCCTCTTTGCATGGTTCCCCAAGTCCTGTTTACCTGAGGCCACCCTTCAGTTCAAGCTACCCTCATCTTTCCTCTGAAACCTGGGAAATGGAGTGGTGTTACCATGCCCTGCTGACCCTTCCCCTCAATATTTATGGGAGGAGGAAGGAATGCCAGACTGGCTTTTGCAGTCATGATGGTTGTTTGGCCAGTACTTGCCCAGCTGGTGGGCAAGCACCTGTAATGACACATCCTGATCTCCAGGGTAGGCCTTCCTCTTCCACAGAAGTCCAAGCCTGGTGATTCTTCCTATTCCCAGGTTTGAGGAACAAACAGCCCCACTGCTGAACTCCCCACCTTCCGGATGTAGGCACTGGCTGGCACTGGGTAGGCAACATCATTGATGGTGAAGACAATGTCAGGTAGGGTGTTGATGGTATCACACTTGACAACATACTGTCAAAAAAGGGGAGGCTGGACATTAGCCCAGCCACTACAGCAGTGTGAGGAGAACCCAGGTGGCCCTCCCACACGGCCCTTTACCTCGCCATCACTAGGGACCTTGGCACCAATGAGATTCTGGATGTTAAGGATTGAGTTTCGGGGGCCAGTCAGCAAGGAGGTCCCTGTGTCCATTATACCTTGGCAGCCACCTTCACAGGCAATGACTACCCCATTCATGGAGATGCTGAGAGTCAGGAGCCAAAGAGGACACCAGGATTACCATATAGCTCCACACTCCCCTTCCCCGACTTCAAAACAGCCCTTCATCTCTCCATACCACCCCTCCTGCATGGTTACTTTACCATTTCTGATGTATTTCTGGTTATTTATTTATTTACTTGAGTAAAGGTCTTACCATGTTTCCTGTGCTCGTCTCCAATGTCCAAGCTCAGATGATCCCCCTGCTTTAGCCTCCCCAGTAGCTTGGACTAGAGCTGGATGCCACCGAATCTGGCTTTCCTTCCAGTTACCTTGTCTTTTTGTTTGTTTTGAGACAGGCCTTATGTAGCTCAGGCTGGCCTCAAACTCATTTTCTAGTCCGAATGACCTTATACTCCTGATCCTCCTGCCTTTACTTCTCAAGTGCTGGATTATAGGTGTGCCCCATCACATCTAGTCTATTTGATGCCAGGGATCAGACCCAGGGTTTCCCACATGCTAGGCAAGCAGTCTACCAACTGAGCTCTAACCCCAGCAACATCCTTTCAGATGTTGAATGCACAGAGCTGTTTCTTGCCTCAGGGCCTTCACACATGACCCCTTTGTCTGGCTGGTTTCTCATCATCTCCCAAATTCCAGCCTAATTGTCACCTTTTCCAGCTTCAGATTCAATTCAGTCACTCTCTTGGTCCCTTCCACCTTCCCTTGTTCATTTCTAGCAAGTAGTGAGGTGGTGATTCACCGTTTGTAGGGATCTGCTCAGTTTTTCAGGTTCCCAGCTGCCTGTTTTCTGTCTTGCCTCCGACCTAGCCTGCTGCATGGCTAAGATGTGTATTTGTGGTTTTCATATTGGAGGATGGAGACTTGTCTCTGCTTCTGACTGTTCTCCTGTCTGATCTACTATGGGCCTAGGACTTCACCTGCTTTGAACAGGAATCCCCAAGTCCTGGGCAAACCAGGATGACAGTCACTCATTGTGACTCTGGCATAGTAGATTCCCTCCCCTTCCATACCCCTATACCACCCCCGACCAATCTCACTTCAGGGCTTTCAGGCCACACTTTCCACCTGTGTCTCTCTGTGTGGGCCTTTTCAGGGACGACTTCTGCATATTCAGGTCTGTAGATGCCCTGTCCTTTAATTATTGCTCCAGACCCAGGCCTAACCTGCCCTCTCTGACTGAGAGTCTGCGGAGACCTTGAGGGGTTACAGCTGTATCAAGGGGTATGTCTGTGGTATGGGAGACTGGACGTCTGTGTGTGTCAGTATGTGGCACTGTATGCATGTCTCTGTGGTTGTACATGTTCAGACTTCTGTTTTTGTGTGGACTGTCTTGTGACTCCATGTGTCAGGACACATCAGTGACTTTGTGTGTGAGTATATGTGTCATTTTAGGTCCAGTCACACATAGGTGTGGACTTGTGTTGCTCCATTTGTACGTGTACACATGTTGGTGATTGCATCTAGGAGCAGGAATCAGGCTGGCACTTACTTGTCCAGAGCTAACTGCCAGTAGCTGGGCTTGGACACAGGTACCCAGTGAAGGTCTCCACTGTAGTAGGAGGGGTCCACTCCACCCAGCATCAGCATGCTGCCCTTCTCATCCTTGCTGGAAGGAAGAGGAGGGGAAGGGCTTACTGTGTGGTGGAAACTACTGGGCTGAGTTTCTTAGACTTAGCAGCACACCTGACCCTGCCAGCACACGAACACACACAGCAGCCCTCTCAGGGCCTCCACTTATTCATGGACAGGGAAATTAAGGCAAGGAGGGCTGAGTACCTGCTCCAGGTCAGTTACACAGCTCATGAGTAGCAAAGCTGAGGTTCCAATGTGGATAGCTGACGACAGAGCTGGACTCTGGACAGCCCACCGTTCTGTGGAACACTTGGGCCCCTTTGGAAACTGGAGCAACTTTATGGTTAAAAGATAATTGACCCCCAGAGGGGTGTGACTTCCACCTGTCTAGACAGTCATTTTCCGGAACACTGAGGCCCGGGGCAGCTAGGGGCGTGCTTTCCAGCTCACACAGGGAGCCCCACCCCCACCTCAGGCCTACTGATTCTAGCTGTCTGATTCTTTGTTGTCACAGACACAGTTGCTACCTAGGCATCTTTTTCCTTTGTTTACTATCTTCTTGTCTTCGGCCTCCCCCTTTTCTGTATCCTTGCATGAACTGTGTACAGAGGCACTCAGTGCTTAGCAGCTGCTTAATAAGAAGTCCGTGAATGAATCATTGTGGACCGGATTCAAGTGTTCCCAAGGGCCAGAACAGCTTGCTTATGCTAGAGAGCTGGGGTTCCTGGAGCTCACTGTTCCTGAAGAGCCCACAGCCACAGACACACAGACACACCTGCCTCCCCTCTAACATGTGGGACCAATTCCCACACTTGGTGGAGAAGAGACAAGTATCAACAGGACCTGCCACCTGCTCTTTGCCTCCTCGCCTGTCCTTCTCTGAATCAGGAACCTCGATGTAGTAGAAGAGCTGATGGACTGACCACTGTCATGGGGAAGAACCCTGAAGGCTGAGTTTGAGAGCGGCTTCTCTCAGCCCTAGACTGGGCCATCCTGGGCAAAGCCCCTCTCAAACAAAGCCTTAGTTTTCTCATCTCTGACTGAAAAGATAGGACTAACGGGGCCAGCATGTTCTCCACAGGCTGTCAGTGACTGTCAGCACGAAGGCTGTGCACACTGGGAGACATTCATCTCTACTGAATGACTCAACGTCACCACTGTTGTGCGAAAGCAGCCACAGGCAAGGTGGAAAGGGAAGATCCGATGAAACCTTATTTACAAAAGCAGATGTTGGGCCAGATCTGGTGTCCAGACCACAGCAGGCAGACACCTGGACTAGACCATGCCTGAAGGACTAGACCTTCAGGATCAGAGGGTAAACCATTTCTAATGCAACTGGCAGCCTAGAAAAAGGGCTGACTTGGCACAGGCTCACCTGCTCAAGTAGAAAGCGAAGAGATTCTGGGGGATAAGGCCTTGCATCCACAGGTTGTCAAAGACAGGCAGGATTCCCTGAAGGCTGAGGTCAGGGTAGCCCAGCCCCAGAATACCATCGAACACTGCATATTCCATAGAAGTACCCGGTTCCTCCACACTTAGGCCAAATGCCTGGGCTACAACCGTGAGGTCCCCGATCTGTGAGAGAAGAGGGTGTCCTTAAATACGGTTCTGAAACTGGGGATATGGCATGGCTGGGCTTGCAGGCGATGGGAATAGGGTCTGACCCACAGGGTATAACTGAGCTCTAGTCATGCCATGGGCCACTCAGGTGTGAATCCCAGCAGGAGTGGGCTGGCAGCTGTGGTGGTGCGGGTTGTCACCAACATCCATACCCAGATATTATCTGAATTTTAGTCTTTTCCAACTGGGGAATCTGAGATTCTGAGTGAACAACTTAGGGTTTCCCTCTTGGAGATGAGTGGGGAGCAAGGCATTTCCTTCAGGGCATTGCCTGTGGAGATCTTTTCCGAACCCCTGAGAGGTGGGAATCTGGTATATGAATTTGTTTAACTGAGTCTCACTATATGTCCCTGAATCCACAGAGCTCTGCCTGCCTCTGCCTTCTGGAGTGATGGGATTAAAGGCCTGTGCAACCATGTCTTACTAAGCTGCCAGAGTCTTCTTTTTATTTTATGTGCATTGGTGTTTTACCTGTATGTATGTCTGTGTGAGGCTGCCAGATCCCCTGGAACTGGAGTTACAGACAGTTGTGAGCTGTCATGTGGGTGCCAGGAATTGAAGTCGGGTCCTCTGGAAGAGCAGCCAGTGCTCCTAACTTTTGCGTCATCTCTCCAGCCCGCTCCCACAATCCAAGAATATTTGGATTGTGAAAATGTGTGTGTGTGTGTGTGTGTGTGTGTGTATGTGTGTGTGTATATGTGTGTGTGTATGTGTGTGTGTGTGTGCGTGCGCGCACACACACATGTGCACACGCAGGAATTTTGATTCTCAAGTCCATTAAGGTCTCCCAGGGTAATTTAAGAGTCTTTGATGGAGCATAGCTCTTCTGAATCCGTGCTCTGCTTTTCCTGCCTGGGAGCTCAAGGCCCCTTGACTGTTCCCAGAGGCCTGGACCACAGGGCTGTTGTCCCTGAGAGCACTTTCTCACTTGCCTGCTTATTCTGAGTCATACCCCAGCTGTTTGGCTTACCAGCTGTGTGACCTTGGATAAGGCCCTGGCTCTTTCTGTTCACCTATGGAATGAAAAGTCTTGGCAACGCCTGCCTTGGGCTTGTTGAGAAAATTCATGTAGTTATTTTGAAGACTGTGCCCAGCCTACTGTCTGGAACAATGTGGGGCATACAAGTGGCTTATTTTTACATACTTCTTTCCCTCTGCTACTGGCAGAACCATTTTGTGCTCCCCTTTGGGGAAGGAGCTACAAATCTGAGCCTTGAATGTGTGTAACAGTTGGGGAGGGTTACCAAGGAGGAGGAGCTCCACAAGGTGTGTGGCCAGCTGGCAGAGAAGGCACTCCCAACTGGCCCTGCCCACAGTCTTCACACTCAGAGCTAGCCTCTGATTCCCGGGTTACCTTGACAGAGTCATAGGCAAGAAATCCTGACATCTCTCCTGAACCATAGGCGACATTCACTGGTTGGCCCGAGAGTAGGAGAGTGGAAGATTGCAAAGGGTTGAAGACCTTGTGGTGAGCTGCAGGACACAGGCAGGAGGTGACTCTCAGGTGTGCTGGGACAGGAGGCATAATGAAGGGCAGGGCAGGGCAGGGCAGGGCAGGGCAGAATACTCACCACAGGCTGGGCTGGAGCAATAGATGGACGGAACCCATAGGTAAGCAGAACCAGTATCCAAGACAACCTTGAACTCCTGAGGGGGTGTGCCGATGCTGATAATACCAATGTAGGCCAGCTGCAGGAGAGGAGGGCCATGGCTAGGGCCAGCCTGGATGCCTTGCCTGTCCCCTGGCTTCTGGGGTGCCTGCCTCCACAGTACTGTCCACACTGCTGAGCCTCTGCTCAAACCAGGGCTTCCTTTTAGGAACGTTCCATCCTCTCTCAAAGGTCTCAAATTCTTTCCACCTGTCAGGAGGCAGCCTAAGCGCCTCCTCCAGGCAGCCCTCCCGGGTCACTCCAGGCCTCTGTGCTCTTTGCTTTCTCCAATGTCAAAATAGTTACTATGAAGACCACTCAGCCAGTCCTTTCATTGGGCACTCGTTTACACTCCTCTGCCTTTCCCTCCTCCCCTTCTCTATTCTTTATGGTAGCTCTTCTCAAAACTTTCTGGTTGCTGTGATTACAGGCATGCACCACTATGCCCAGCTGACATCCGTTTTATTCTCCATTTCTCTGGCTAGGCTGTTATGTATTAGGAAAGGAAACTTAAATTTAGTCAGGTGTGGTGGTGCATGCCTTTAGTCCCAGCACTAGGGAGGCAGAAGCAGGTGGATCTCTGTGTTCAAAGCCAGCTTGGTCTGCATAGCAAGTTCCAGGCCAGTTGGAGTTACACGGTAAAACCTATCTTGGAAAAAAAAAAAAAAAGAAAGAAAAAAAAAAAAAAAAGAAAGAAAGAAAGAAAGAGATTAGCCTCTGCTCATCAGAAATGACAGCATCTTGCTAGCTGATCAGTGTCCAGCCCATCTCAGCACTCACTAACTGGTCATTGGTTGAAATCTGAGTTTGAAGATGTGGGACTCCTTTCCCTGAGATACCGAGCTTGATTTGCAATTGGATTTGCTGGTATTGGGTTGGTTGTGGCTCACCCTTGCTTGGGGCCCAGAGATTCACCTAGGTGAAAAAGAACAAAAGTCCAGGGTCCCAATGACTTGTCACAAGCACAGAACAGGATGTCTGTGTGGTAATAACTGGTCATTGCTAGGTCCAACCTGCCAGCACAGCCCCCAGAATGTGTTCTCCTTGGCATAGGGGGATGGGGAATAATGGGGGGGGCAGGTCCCTGTTCCTCACCCATTAATTTTTTTCTTTCATGTATGAGTGTGTGATGTATTGCAGGTTCAGATGCAAAGAGGTATCCTGTTCTGTCACTCCAGATTATTCTTTTGAGACAGGATCTCTCACTGAACATAGAGCTAGCCTGGCAGGCTACAAACCCCAGTTACTCCTATTTCAGCTTCCACAGTGCTGGGGTCAAAAGTGTGTGTGGCTACATCTAGCTTGTATTTCCTGTGGGTGTTAAGGATTTGAACTGAAGTCCTCACACTTGGAGTGGCAGGTGCTCTTAACTGCTGAGCTATCTATCCCAGTCCCTACTTCCCACCCCTTCTGGCTTTAGGAACCCCAGCACTAATGCAGTATGCCCCAGAGGGGCCACAGCGCTGGGCAGAAGCCCTAGGGGGCACTCGGGAGCCCCAGTCCCCCTACCACACTAACGTCTAGGTAGTTCTTCAAGGGCTCATAAGTTACTGCTGGGTTCCAGTGCTGCTTAAGAAGCTCGTGGGCGTGGCTCCGAGGGTACTTCTCCAGGTAATCCTTCAGCTTGTTATTTTCCCGAAGGTTTTCTCGCATGGACTTAATCTTCATCAGAGGGATTCTGTAAATGAGCATTGGGAAGGAAATTGAGCCAGAGAGAGGCACCACAGGGTGCCGAGAGGCAATGAGGCAGATGCACGGTGGATTTTCCTAAGACCATTACTGGAACAGGCCACACAACACAACAGGAAGACCATGGCAGAGTGCCTGGTTTCCAACCCAGGTCTGGTATTGGCTCTCGAGCAAGTCATGGGACCATTCTGAACTTTAGCTTCCCTTTCTGTAGAAAAGATGGGACGGTGACTCTCCTCACGCAGGGTCTGGGGGTGGGGGTGATGGATAGGGAGCACCTGCCATCTAGTAAGTCCTAACAGTGACAGCTGTTGCTGTCACTCTTTCCAGGGTACTTACTATCTTTCTTGAAGCAACCTGAGAGGAAGGACGGGAGATCTGGGCATTCCGACTCCCTCTCCTTGTGACTCAGCTTTGGTCACCATGCTAGTTACCATAAAAGCTAGGCCTAGCAAGCAGCCCCTTTTTATGTTTCTTTTCTTTCTGAGACCAGCTCTTATGTATCCTAGGCTGGCATCAAATTTGATATATATATATAACTGAGGATGACTTTAAATTTCTGATCATTCTGCCTCCACCTCCCAAATGCTGAGCTTACAGGCAGGCAGGCACCACCGTACACAGGTGGCAGCAGCCCTCTACACCCATATTGGCTCAATCAGAAGTGAGGGATGAGAGATAAAACGGAAAATGCCAGGGAGCCAAAGCAGGGAATCTGTTAGGGAAATGATGAGGCCTGAGAGTGAGAGCCCAAAGGCTGTGGACAGACTGTGTAGATGTCTGTGGACAGACACTTGGAGGTTGGGAAGACACAAGGAAGATCTGTAGAGACAGACATGTTGGGAGAGATCTATAAGACAATGTAGAAGAGATATCCCTACAGCAGCACAAGCTGTACACTCAGCGATTCCAGGGAGAGACATCCATACAGCCCAGGATGTGACTTGTGCCCTTGGAGTTGGGTGGTCCCAACGATTTACCCCAAGACTGCTGGGCCCTTCTGGTGCTCTTGGTGAATGGACACCTAAACTCTATGAAAGCCAGGAAGGTTACATTTCCTTCTTCAACCAGGGATAGGCAGGGCAAGAATAGAGTCAGATGGGGTGGGGGATGGGATGGAAGGGGAGGTCAGGGGGGCATGGGAGGTAGGGACGGAGAGGGAACTGGGATCGATATGTAAAATGAGGAAAAATAATAATAAAAGAGTCAGTTTCACAAGGGTGAGAAAGAACCCAGGGAGACAGCTGAGAGCACCCACCCTATACTTACTTGACTAAGCACTCTGAGAGGGCCACAAGCCAGAGGACCCCAAGCCGCTTCATGATCCCTTTCCCCTGCTTAAGGTGCTTGGGAGAAGCTAGTTATGGGCCTGAAGCTGTGTGGAGAACTGCTTGTTAAATAGCTCTGGCCTGCTCTAAGCACTAATCAGCCCTGGAGGACCACTAATAGGGCTTGATAAGAAATGCAAACTTTCCGATAACATCTTTCCCCTAATAGGGGCTAAAAACTCTCACAACCCAGGGAGTTTTAGTGGCTGAGAATGTTAACACCAAGCCACCCCGACTTCACAGAGTGGGGAGACTCTTGCGATCTTGGTGATAAAGTTGCAAAAGTAAGTGCCAGGTGCTGCGCATCTGCCCTTCACATCCCATGCAGTTCCAACCGGCCGTGAGGTGTGTCCCACTGTCCCCACATTCTCATTAGAGAGCGGGGTGCTGGGAGGAATAGAAGGCCGAGTCTGACAAGCCAAGTTGGATATCCAGGACCCACCTGGTGGGAGGATAGACTTGCATTCCACAAGCTCTTCTTTCTTCCACCTCCATATGCCACTGTGGTTGCACACAGGTACCTACCCACCCACATAAGTAATGCAACATTTAAAAATGTATCCATGAAAAATGAAAGACATTAACAAAACCAAAAGAGGACAGGCAATCAGTCATCATGGAATCTGCTCAGGACCTAGGAGGCAAAGTGGGTGGCCGCGCTGGGCATGATGCTGCATTATCTCACCACAAGGGGGAAGTCTTGAGTCAGCTCTGACCTGCCACTGCCAGGCTGGAAGGAAGCCATGGTTCCAGGTTGGCCACTTTTCTAAGGAAAGTCAGAGCCTGGACATTTATGTGAAATTTCTGTTCTTTAACGTTAGCGGCTGGGATATTATAATGGATAGACTTTGGTTTTCATATAGTCCCTCCACCCAAACAGGTGACAAGACACCATCCCAGAGGGTGCAGGCTCCATGCACAGCAGGAAGGATTTCGGCAGGGACAACATGAAGAATCTGTTAGCCTTAGCTCTTACTCTTTCTGTTCTGTCACTTTTTTTTTTCCAAGATAGGCTTTCTCTGTGCAGCCATGGCTATCCTGGGACCCACTCTGTAGACCAAGCTGACCTTAAATTCACAGAGATCCACCTGCCTCTGCCTCCTGAGTGCTGGGATTAAAGATGTGTGCTACCACCACCTGGTGACATATTAACATTCTTGTTGAGGCCCCTGTAATGTAGTGTGCACTGCAGACTCAGAAGCCTGCCATTTCCAGGGGATCCAATATCTCTTCTGACCTTGTGGGTACACACACACATACACACACACACACACAAATAAACAACCAACCACAGATAATGGAAGTATTTCCCCAAGCCCTGAGCCACTTAAACAAGTGATCCAAGCTCAAGGAGGGCTCATAGGAACCATTCACTTGGGGAGAAGCATAGAAAATGCAACATGTAGCTGTGGGCTGGCATCTACAGCATGGCTCCGTCTAGGGGCTGAGCCTTGATGTGGAATCTGTGGCAATCTCCAAGTTAGACAAACCAATAACTTAAAAAAAAATTCCTGCTGGGTGATGGTGGCATATGCCTTTAATCCCAGCACTCAGGAGGCAGAGGCAGAGGCAGAGGCAGAGGCAGTAGGATCTCTGTGAGTTCGAGGCCAGCCTGGTCTACAGAGAAAGTTTCAGGACAGCTTCCAAAGCTACAGAGAAGCCCTGTCTGGAAAAACCCAAACCAACCAACCAACCAAATAAATAATTCCCACTTGGTGAGCACCTATTGCAGTTCCCCTGATGGGACCCAGGTTTTTTTGCATACCCAGGAACACAGACAGTTATTATCTTTTTAAGCATCTTGTCAGAAAAACACCCTGGGAACCTTTGGCTTGGCCTGGGATACTTATGTTCACCTACTTAAACAGGTACTACGTACAGTATAGCACACAGAATAATATTGCTCTGCCTCCAGGAGCCCAGGGCCCTTTACTGATCCTGGGGACAATGCTGGGCAAAAAACTTGAACAGAGAATGGATACTGAGTGATATTAAGGGCAGTCACTTGGGACTGGGGCTCTGGTTCAGTAAGTAGAGTGCTTGCCTGGCACTCACTGCAATCCATCTCTGGCACCATATAAACTAGGTGTGGTATTGAGGATCAGGGACTGGGAGAAGGAACATGGAAGATCAGGAGATCAAGGCCAGCCTTGGTTATAAAGCAAGTTTGAGGCTGGCTTTGATTGTATACAATCCCGTCTCAAAACAAGCAAATAACTAAACAAAGTAGATTTGGTGGTATACACTTGTAATCCTAGCACTAGGGAGGCTGAGGCAGGAGTTTGTGGCCAGCCTGGGCTCCATAGTAAGTTTTGGGTCAGCCTGAGCTATATTGTGAGTTCCTACCTGCCCTTTCCCTGTAAAAAAGGCAAAATAAGCAACAAATAAAAACTCCCAAAATCCTCACAAACAAAGAATAATTTTATTTAGAATAAGAGAGAATTGGGGTTTATATATACACATTTTAAGAGCTCCTAGGTCCAAAAGCATTTACAGTAAAATAACACTCCTGAAAAAAAAAAAAAAAAAAAAAAAGAATGACAAGCATTTTTAAAAGGGAGACCAGGGACTGGAGAGCTAAGTTGGTAGAGTGATTGCCTAGCACACATGAAGTCCTGAGCTGGAGCTTGCCAGCACTGAACTAAAAAAACCAAAAACACAGCTGGGCAGTGGTGGCTCACACCTTTAGTCCCAGCACTTGGGAGGCAGAGGCAGACAGATGTCTGTGAGTTCGTGTTCAGCTTGGTCTACAGAGCAAGTTCCAGAACAGGCTCCAAAGCAATACAGAGGAATCCTGTCTCAAAACAACAACAACAAAACAAAAAATCCAAACCCCCGAAAGACTCCATCTCACAAAAACCAAGTGATGTGGCACACACTTGCAATCCTAGCACTTGAGGGGCAGAGGTCACAATTTCAAGGTCACCCTTGGCTACACGAGGAGTTAGAGGCCAACCTGAGTTCCATGAGATTCTGTCTGATAAAAGAAGAGGGTGTAGCAGAGACTCTGGACAGTGTCTTTATTCCTGTTGTCATGGGACAGCAGTAAGACCGCCTTTTAGGTTTGGAATTCTTTTATATAAGTTTAAATGTTTCCTGTTGGATTGCATTTTAATTTTGTTTGAGGGTAGCTGGCCTGGAACATGCCATGTAGGCCAGGCTGGCCTCGAACTTTCAATGATTCTCCTGCTTCAGTCTTCTAAGTGCTGGGATTACACTATGCCTGATAACATTTCCATCTTGAAGTCCTTGTCCTCAGTGATTATATGTATACCCAGAGGTCCAAGAAGGACAAACTTGGGCAGCCTAGCACTGGCTTGGAGCCTCCCTGTTCCCTGCTCCATCTCCTCAGGGCTTCTTAACCCAGTTTGCAACTTTGATGAAGCCTGGGGCAGGGCTTAGAAGTAGGAGAAATGGGGCAATTTTGAGAAGTAACAAATTGAGGCTTTTTTTCCCCCTTTGACTTTCTTGTCATTGAGACCACCTGTAGGGCAAGGGAAGCCAACCTGCATATGAAGGGCGAGAGCCCAGGCTGGAACAGTGGGGTGGGGGATCCATGAGTTGCTAGTGTGGGATACAGGAGGGATCAGACCGGAAAGGGAACTTGTAAGGGAAACAGATTAGCTGGCAGTTAAAAGCAGACCTCAGACTGCATCAGCACCTACCAGAGGTCCTGTCCCACATGTGTCTCCTGGGACACAGATGCTGGAGACTGGATCTGGTCCTTTCTGCTCCAATTCCTGCTGCAGATGAGGCAGCTTTAGACAATGGCTACTGCTGTGTGACAGGAAAGGGGACAGCTACATCTGGTGGCTCTCTGATGACTCCAAGTATTGAGGTCACCTTAAAATCTCTGGACTCCTAGAATATCTCTCACCTTAATATTCACCTGCCTCTTACTGGCATGCCTGGGACCCAAAGTCCTCTTCCTGTTTTCCACGCTTTAAGGGAGGTGACTTGTCTACTGGATCAAGTTTTTATTGAAGAGTTCTCAGATTTCCCATTGGCAACTTCTGCTTCATGACATTTCATAGACTCCACGTGGCAGAGTGTCTCATGGGCAGGGAGGGACACACGGGTTCTTTGGTTCCTGGTGGTAGGTAGGTTGTGACTTGGGTAGGTGGCACCTGGTCTGCCTTCTCTATCGTGAGCACCAAAGCAGACATCATCCATTGATCCCAGAACTCCTGACCTCTGGATAGAGACATTGAGCCCTGAGCAACATAGTTCACCTTCAGCTGAATGTCCTACTAGTCAGCATTGGCACTTGGATGGAGTGATGGGCATTTTCCAAGCCCATCTCCTTTCTTTGGAAGAGGGAACCCTGAGACCTGCAACATGTGACTTACCAGAATCTCTAAGGTAAGGCAGAGAGTACAGGAATCTAGGGCTTTTGGGCTTGAACAATCTCTTCCTGGGGTGGGGTGGGGGATAGACACTGAGGGCCTTGAGGAGGCAGAGATGCCCAAAGGTATGGGTTTGCAGCTGCTCCACAATGAGGTTCTTTGCCTGTCTCCTCAGTTCCAACCTCAGATCTATGTCACCAGACCCACAGCCTTGGAGCAGCAGGAGAGAGTCAAGGGGCCAAGGAGCACAGGGGCAGCTGCAGGTGGAGGTACAGGTCAGTGCTGGACCATGCCCAGCTTGGCAGCCCACAGCATTTCTCCCTCTCCAATATTAGCATGGCACTGGCTCATAAAGTCACAAGCACCTTCTACTTGGACTTTGCCAGCAGGAATGAGATGTCCTGCTAGCTATGTCTACCCTGTGGTCTGCACATGCCCTGGAATAGCTAAGAATGCATGCAGCATGACATAAAATTGTGAACTCCCTCGATCTACCATGAGACTTAGTCTGTGTGTGATTTTGTTGTTGTTACTCAGTTGCCCAGTTCTTAGGTGTGAACTTTGAAATGACATTATGTCACAGGGTTGGAAACACACTTTAGACTTTCTTTGGGGGAACCCATGGTTGAGTTGAGCAGCTCAGATGAG